CGCATAGCACACAGAAGAAGATACCTGAACCAAAAACAAATGACAAAGAAAAAGTTTTTCTTCTACCTCCTCCCAAACAGACAATAGAAAGTCGAGAAATAAAAACACAAGAAACAGAGAGTTCAAAAAAGAAAATCAAAAGCTCAGAAAAGAGAAGCTCAAGCCGAAGCTCTATTGAAGGGACCTTTTCAGACTTTATCGAATCTGAGATGGAAACAGATGGAGGCAGGCAGAGATCTCTCGAAAAATGTTCTACCTCACAAAACAAAGAAAAAGAAACAGCATCGAAGCAATAAACATTCCTAATGGCTACTCTCATTTCGTGGAACTGCCGGGGCTTCTATCAGGGTATTGATGGCATTAAGCAACTTATTAATAAATATCGACCTATTTGTATAGCGATACAAGAGACATTCCTCAAACCTGGTAATTTTGCAAAGCTACGTAGATACTCGATGACAAGAAAGGATAAGACATTCAGTGAACGCGCAAGTGGTGGTGTCTGTCTACTCACCTCAATTAATTGCCCTTCGAGTGCTCTCCCTTTGGATACTCCTCTCCAAGCAGTTGCAGTACAGTTGAGCATTCGAACACTGACTACTGTCTGCAGTATTTACATCCCGCCTAATGAGAACATTAATTTAAGAGATTTAGAGGATCTAATTGCCCAACTACCAGCTCCGTTTATTCTAGTCGGTGATTTCAATGGACACAATCCCTTGTGGGGTAGTAAAGACACAAACCCACGAGGGAAGCAAATTGAACAGCTACTCCACGACCACTGTCTCTGTATCCTTAACAACGCAGAAAGCACTTATTTTCATCAGCCAACAAGGACCTTCCATTCCATTGACCTTGCTATTGTTTCTCCACAGCTTTTGCCATTTTGTTTCTTTAATGTCGAGAATTATCTATATATAATAGCGATCATTTTCCTATTATCATAAGCATTACAGGAAATAGGAGTGTTTTTATACCTAGAACACCACGCTTTTTGTTGGACAAAGCCGACTGGGACTCTTTCTTACATTATGCTCTTTTACTGAAGAAGAAATATAAAGAATGTGCACATTGATCAGGCTGTGAAGATCATTACAGATAAAATTATTCAAGCAGCTGATATATGTATACCAAAAACGTCGGTAAAACAGCCAAAATACCCAAAGCCCTGGTGGAATCCTGAATGCCAGGACGCCATCAGAAAACAAAGGAAAGCTTGGAGCATTTTTCGGCGATATCCTTCAGAATCAAATCTCGTAATATTCAAAAGGGCTAAAGCAAAAGCTCGGCAGGTGCGAAGGAAAAGTCAGAAGAATTCTTGGATCTCGTATGTGTATCTTCGATTAGCTCTTCAACTTCGAGTAAGAAGGTGTGGGAGAGAGTCCGGAAAGCGTCCGGTATCTACAAAGAGCACACTTTCCATTTTAAAGACAAGTGGTGAAACAGTTACTAGTAGGGAAGAAATTGCCAACGCTATTGGACAGAGTTTCTCAGCCGTCTCACACAGTAGTAACTACCCTCTTGAATTTCTTTCCGCAAAAAAATGCATTGAAAAACAACTAATTAATTTCAAACTCTCCCAATACTGAACCATATAATCAGGATTTTACTGTGCTTGAACTGAAAAGAGCTCTGTTGCAGACAAAAAATTCATGTCCTGGTCCAGATGATATTGCCTATCCTATGCTGAAACATCTTCCTTCCAAGTCATTGGCAAGCCATCCTCTTTCTCTTTAATAGAGTATGGAAGGAACAAGTCTTTCCAAATGCCTGGAAAATAGCTTTTGTCATCCCCATTGTTAAACCGGGAAAAGACCCTACTAATCCGTCAAATTACCGTCCCATCGCCCTAACTAGCTGCCTCTGCAAACTCTTTGAAAAGATGGTCAACACTCGTCTGGTCTATTATTTAGAGACAAATAATTGTATCTCCCCTTATCAGAACGGTTTTAGAAAAGGAAGAGCAACTATCGATAATATCCTACTCTTAGAAACAGGTATCCGTAGAGCGTTCGTTAGAAGAAATCATTATGTTTCCATTTTCTTTGATATAGAGAAAGCCTATGATACCACCTGGAGATACGGTATCCTTCGTGACCTATATAACAATGGTTTACGAGGAAACATGCCGATATTCATCAAACATTTCCTACAGGATCGGAAGTTTCATGTGAAGATAGGCGATACACTTTCTGACATGTTCCATCAAGAAGAGGGCGTTCCGCAAGGAAGTGTATTAAGTGTTACATTATTTAGTATAAAAATTAACTCTATTTTAAAACAACTGCCTCCAGCAGTCCAGGGTATGCTCTATGTCGATGACCTGCAAGTCAGTTGCCAGGGAGAAGACCTGAAAGACATTGAATGTAAACTGCAGACATCTCTCAATAGAATTGTTAAATGGTCGCACAGGAAAATGGTTTTAGATTCTCTACTCAAAAGACTGTGTGTGTACATTTCTGTCGAAAGAAAATTCCTCACCCTGACCCCGAACTTTATCTGCAAGATGTGCTGATTCCTGTAGAAAAGGAAATAAAATTCCTAGGAATGATATTTGACCATAAGCTTACGTTCCTCCCCCATATTACCTATCTAAAAAAGAAATGTTTAAAAACTATGAATATTCTGAAAGTACTGTCAAATACTTCTTGGGGTGCTGATCGAAGCTCAATGCTTCTTATATATAGAGCTCTCATTCGTTCGAAACTAGATTATGGATCAATCATTTATGGGTCGGCAAGGCCTTCAGTATTAGCCAAACTTGATCCGATACATCACCATGCACTTCGGATATGCACTGGTGCCTTTAGAACTTCTCCAGTGGAAAGCTTATATGTGGAAAGTAACGAGACCTCCTCCCTGCGGTTAAGACGTGAAAATCTTTTGTTTAAGCATTATTTCAAAGTCTTATCACAAACCGAAAATTCTACGCGGTCAAAATTGCTTAATGACCAATACTCCCGTTTATATCAGGCACGACCATCATGTGTCCCATCTTTCGGCTTGCGGATGAGTGCTTTGGTGGAGGAGTATAATTTGTCTAATATAGATATACAGGTGGAGGATTTTTTTGGAATTCCTCCCTGGGAGGATTGGAGAATCCATTCTCTGGATATTTATCGACACTGGAGTAAATCACAAACTAACGAAATCGTCTACAAGCAGGTTTTTTTTTTTTTTTTTTTTTTTTTTTTTTTTTTTTGACATAGAAACAAATATAGGAAATGTATCCCTCTATATACAGATGGATCAAAATCCCAGGATCATGTTGGTGCGCTGCTTTCGTCACAGAGAAAACAATAGTAGGGGTTCGATTACATACAGTTTGCTCTCTGCTTGCTTCTGAGCTTACTGCAATCCATTTGGCTTTGACTTACCTTTCAAAACAAAAGTACACAAAGTTTATTATCTACACAGATTCCATGAGTGCCTTAATGTCATTGAAAAATCACGCTCAATGTACTCACTCAGTTGCAACCAGAATCCTGAAGTTGAATCATTCTTTAAAAATTTGGGGATTCTTTATTTGTGGATCCCTGGACACATTGCCATTAAGGGGAATGAATTGGCAGATATTGCAGCTAAAACTGCAATCACAATGTACAATCTTCAGATTCTACTAGCAGACATCAAATGGTTTGTCAAAAGCAAAATTCTCAGCAAATGGCAGAAGCAATGGGATGACAAAGTATATAACAAGCTGAGAAATGTAAAACCCACCATTGGATACTGGCCATGTATGGCTAATAGAAGGGAGGATGTCCTCTTGACTCGACTGAGAATTGGCCATTGTCGCCTGACCCATGAGTATCTTCTGAAGGGAGAAGAGAATCCCAGCTGCCCAAACTGCAATGCAGATCTGACAGTCCATCACATCTTGGTGGAATGCCAGAGTTTTAATTATTTTCGCCAAAAACATTTTAATTGTTCAGAACTGGACTTAGGAAATTTAATTGGAAAACACATCATCGTAATTTGTTTCTGTTTTTAAAAGATATTGGCTTTTATAATAGACTTTAACCTGTTTTTTAAAAGATATCAGCTTTTATCATAGATTGTAATCTGTCTCTTTTTACCTAAGCTGGAAGTTTTTAAAAATGACTAATTGCATTGTTACCATTTGTCTGGCGTAGATAACCTTGACAGGTTTTGTGCCAAATTACAATAATCCAATCCAATCATTCACTCGCACCATTCTCACCACACACTTCACAAAAATTTTGGCATGTTTTTGGAGCTTTTTTACATTTTTTATAGTAAAAATGTATCACTTAACATATTATCACTTAACGTATAAACAGGTATTTCACTCATTTTCAAATCAATATAACTTTTTACACAAGCAATGAATTAGAAAACTATTTTCACAAACAGTGGAAGCTGAATGTCACCTTTTAAGCACATGTTCATTTGAGACAATTGGGTAGTGTTGCCAGATGTATAGACATCAACATCATCTAGTGGCAAAAAAATGCGGAGACTTTTTATATGAGCCAATATTATGGTGGTGTGTTTTTAAGCTCCTTCAAAAAATGTGTCCATGAATGTGTTAAATGTAATTTTAAGTAACAGATTGCATTAATTTTTGGTATTCAATTTATGTTGAAAAAATGTGTATTAACAAATAAAGATAGATTATATTAAGTGATTGGGTCATTTTATGAGGTTTAAATTACTCTTTCAAACACTAATTTGTTTACAAACTGAAATAGATGTTAATTATTTATGTTGTATTTTGAAAATTTTATTGTTTATGCAAATTAGTAGTGTTGTTCTTTGAGTAATTAAAAAATTCTTAATTATGTGAAAGCAACATAAGCAAGTAGCAGAAATAAAATTTGCTAATTTAATTCTTTTTAATCAGTAGAGAAGTATTAGCAGCTGATATTTGTTAGCTAATTTTTTAATTTATATTAGAAACATTAAGTTTTAAATTGTATCTCGTATTCATGTATAAATTTGAACTGTATTTAAATTATTATATTTTTATTTCCTAATAGAAGAAAGTAAAGAAAATGGAAGTGAAAAGAATGCTTCAGGTATGTGTGGAATTTTTTCTAATTTTTCAATGCTACTTAGTTTTAAAAAAAGGAAGTGGTTTAGAATGCTTAAAATATCAATTTGGGATGAAGTTTGCATTAAATTATCATCAAACTTAAAATTAGATTTGAGACTGGCTAAGTTATTCATTAGGTAAATATTCAAGTAGTCATCTGTTATAGATTCTACATCATTAAAATACTACTGCTGATTTCATTCATTAATGTTGGGAATCTCTACAATGCAGTCCTTTTTATTTTTCATGTCGCATGAAATTTATGCTAGTACTTTATTAATCAGTTCTGTTGTCTGACAAGTTGTAGATTTTGGGATTAGTTTATGGCAGGGGTTCTCAACTGGTGATATGCAAAGAAGCAAAGTATTTTTAAATATTAAATTCAAAAATTTAAACCCCAACATCCTCATTGAGTTTTTCCTCTGACATTCATAAATTTATGCGATCTGAGCTTTGTTCAAGAGTGGTGGTGGTACTAAAAATTTTCAATTTTTGTTTAGATGGTATGCATTTGTCAAAAGGTTGAGAACCATTGGTTTATGGCATAGTCTTTAATCTTTCCTATCATAACAATGCATTGTTTGAGTAATTTAAAAGCAGTGTGTGTACTATAATTTTAGCTTTTTTTTTAAATCTGATTTAATTAATAATGCGTATCTACGTCATTCACGTAGCTAAAACATTTCTAACTGCATATATTGTGCAGGTTTTGGCTACTGAACAATTGTTTCCATGTTGCCTCATAATGAATTTATCTTTTTTACAAATATACTAGCTTCAATGCAAAAGTTAAAAAAAAAAAAAAAATCTGTAAATAGAGGTTTAGCTAGTAGACACTGAAGAGCCAAAATAATGAAATTTAATGTAAATATGTATTATGCAAATTATGAGATTAATTTTAAATTTATCAGTTACAATTTTTTTTTAATTCTGTGGAATTAATAAAGATAAATGAAAGCAAAGGGTTTCTTATTAAGTATTCACCTGAATAAAATGTGTAAAATTTAAAGTAAAAAGTGTTATTTATAAAGAAGAAAAAGAGAAAAGTTGTAGAAAAATATTAAGTAAATTTAGACATCTTTGATATCTGTGCAGTATTTTTATCAACAAATTGTGAGATTAACTGAATGCAATTGAATAGAATTTATACTATATATATTTATGAAAGATAGTTATTGAGTAATAATTTAGAATATTTAATTTTTAATTCTGAGAGTGAAATAATTGTGAACAGAAGAATATCAAAATAAAAAAGTATGCTGTATTTGAATGAAATAGAAAGAGGTAGCATATAGGAAAAAGGCTTACAATGTATATGTGGCTCCAGAATTTGACTGTTATAGAAAAATTCTTATCTGATACAGATGCTGTTACGAAAGAATTTTACTTAGAAATTTTGGAACTGACAAAACATTTTACATAAGATATTAGGAGTAACTGCTTATTAAAATATTTCTCATAATTATGCTACGAAAATACATTTGTTGCTTTTTCTATATATATGATTTAGTTTCTTATACTGATTTTTTCTGATACTGATTTGCCCTATTATATCAAAAGAAATTTATGGATCATTGCTTGCAATTAATTATAATTTTAATTAAAAGTACAACATGAACTAATTTTTAATTAAAATTAAAAATTTGCAGTTCCTTCAATAATTGACATATTCTTTAACATAATTAATGTTATCAACAAACTACTACATCATAAAATATTAATATGCTTGTTTTTGAATCCACTGAAAGGTTAAAAGCACTATTAAAATGCAGAATACATTGAATCTGCAATAATGTGTTCTAAATTGAGAGAAGAATATATGGCATTAGTAATGGAGACAAAATGAAAAAATCAGAATTTAACTCTGCCGCTGAAATTGAATAAAGGCAAGTTACACTGATCAGCAATGTGCTTTTATAAGAAAGAGTGTGCACTAAATTTTTTTATGAATGTCTGTGAATTCAGAAATTTAATTTTTTTATTTAATTTTATAAGAAATTTTGTGGGAACATTCAAGTTATAAAATTATTTTAAAAGTAAACCTAGTGCTTAAAGATTTATGGAATTATTTTTATGTAAAGTCATTTTTAATATTAAATATAGAATGTTCATTTGCTAATCATGTAAGATGTAGAGGCTAATTTGAGATACACATATAGGTTTATTTTTGATTATAAATTTTGATTTCCAGATTGATTATTCTCTGCTTCTACTGTCAATATTTAAAACCAAAAAAATCAGAATCGGTAGGTTACAAAGTATTAAACTTTTTGACAGTGTTAATCAAATAGGCTATAAGTTTTATTCCTATGATATCAAATAGGAGAAAATAAAGTAGCTGTATTAGCAGCTAATATTTTAGGCCTTCATGTGCCTTTGCTGTAGTTAACTCGTTTATCTTGTCGTAGACTTCAGTACATGCATGCCTTTTATATTAGTCGTTCAACAGATTTTTGAAAAGGTAATAATTTCCTAAATCTTCATTAATAGTTTCAAATAGATTATGTAAGAAATAAAAATTATCACTATTTTTAATTATTCAAACATTCGGGTAACAAAGTGCATGCATTATCCCAAAAGTATCTAAAATGTGTTAATTCTTAATGATAATTCATCTTGTTTATATTGGAGTTGTTTAACTTGCCTTTATTCAATTTCCAATTTTAGCGACAGAGTTAAATTCGGATTTTTTCATTTTTGTCTTCATTACTAATGCCATATATAGTCTTCCTTCAGTTTCAAACACATTATTGTAGATTCAATATATTCTGCATTTTAATAGTGCTTTTAACCTTTCAGTGGATTCAAAAACAAGCATATTAATATTTTATGATGTAGTAGTTTGTTGACAACATTAATTCTGATAAAGAATATGTCAATTATCGAAGGAACTGCAAATTTTAAATTTTAATTGAAACTTAGTACATGTTGTACTTTTAATTAAAATTATAATTAATTTCAAGCAATGATCCATAAATTTCTCTTGATATAATAGGGCAAATCTGCTCCCATTTCACTTTTTTGTGGAGTATATAATGGCATCTGTAGTGTTGAACTTTAAAGATTTGCCCAAAGGTTTGATGAAACAAAGAATGATAATATTCCTACAAACTTTAATACATCAGTTATTACTATATTTTAAATATGAATAGCTCATAGATTTTGAAGACCCAAATGAAAACTTTTAAATCATTTTTTTTTTCCAACTTTTCTATTTGCTTTGTATCCTATCCCTGCCTACTCAGAAAACAAGATTACAAGAAATTATAAGACCACTTTGAGGCCAGTAAAATTTGGAACCTTGTAGACCTAGGCAGTAATCAGGCCCTGTTTTTAAAAAGTCAAAATTTTCACCAATTTTGATTACTTCCAAACACATTCAAGACAGAAGTTAAAAGTGAATCATGGGCGAATGCGAACATCATCCCTACCAAATGTAACTGGTATAGCACAGCATCCACTTTTATCTTTATTATAAAATATTCATAAATACATACAGAGTGATCATAAAACTTCTCGATACATGAACCTCTAGTGGCCTATCCCCTCAACCAAACGAAATAAAATTTCAGATATTTTTATTTGAAGTTATGTATTTGAGATCATGATGATTTAAAACGATAGAGCTTTCATAGTTACTTTTACAGTGAACAGTGGGATGATTCTAATGGGAACACCCACATTTTCCCTGCACGACGTGATGAGTACATTGAAATACCATAAATGGCATTGGAATGTTACACGTGTGACGAAAACTGCTGGCATAAAACATTTACAAAGGAGAGCATTTTAAAGGACCATTGATAACACAAAAGAAGAGAAAGAAGGATACTTTTATTGAAGTTGTAAGTTTTTAACGTGCCCACCTTCATGGATGCCAATGCATTGCATGTGGGAGATAGTTGACAACAATGACAAATGTAGCATCGCAGGAGGAATCTGTATAACTTCAACTTTTATGGCAAATCTTTTGGATTTGATGTGTACACATTGGATTTCGAACAACTCTAAAACCAAATATCCATTGGAGTGAGGTAGCAGGATCACAGTAGCCACAAAACTGCAAAATTATGGGAGATGATTATCTTGAAATGTTTTACACATTGAAAACTTGTAAAGGATTCCCCCCCCCTTCACCTCTCTTGTGTTGTCATTGGTCCTTTACAGTGGTGTTTTTGTAAATGTTTTTCACCATTAACTTTTGTCGTACGTGTATCGTTCCAACGATATTTATGATTTTCAATGTGCTGATCAGTTTGCTCATGAAAAAGTGGGTGTTGCTGTTTGAAAATTTCTAAATTCTTTTACTGTTACTGTAACCGTAAGTATGAGAACTCTATTGTTTTAGCATCACTTTCTCGCTTCAAATAACTATGATAATAATAATAATAATACGATATCTTAAATAATCGTACATGTAAAGGAAATTAATGTTTTAAATTTAAAATTGTAGATACTGAAGTAGGAGAAGATAATCAAGAAGATAAAGGTGAAGAAAAAGAACCTTCTGAGTCAACAGATTCTCCAGAAGCTGTTATAGAGGAGGCAGATAAAGATACCGAAATGAGAGAAAATGAGTCAAGTACTTCTTCACCACAGTCAGAGGTTCCAAAAGAAAATCAGGAACTAAATGAAAGTCAGTCAGATCTTGATAAAAGTCAGCAAGATACCGATGAAAATCAGCAAGAAAATGAGGTTGAATTTTTTTTTATTCTTAGTATTTCACTTGGAATATTTATATATTAAGAAATATCTGAGACCAGGGGCAGAGAAAAAAAAAAAAAAATTAGTAGTATATTATATAATAAAATCTTTTCAAAAAAAATTTCCCACTATAATAGTTTTTAAGATTTTGAAAATTCTGCATTTTAAGACAGTTTTTCATCACATATAATGCATATTATGAGTATCCAAGGAAATGGAGAATGTAGGCCCATTTTTTGAATACTCTTATATATGTCAAATATAAAATATCTTTTAAATAATAAATTAATAGCCCTTTAATTCTGCCTTCATTCTGAAAATAACAACATTTCTGGACTCTATCATTTCTAGGATAATCTAATCTATGCCACAATGCTTGCGTAACACTGATGAGGTAGTAATCTAGAACTGAAACTTTTCTAATTCAAAGCAAAACCTTTGTCATCATGTGCTTCCATATTGGATAACTACATGATTTAGCTTCTCTCTCTCTACGCCTGCTTGGATCTAATTTTGCTGTGCTCGCTTCCTATTGCAACAGTATCAAAAATGTAAATGTTCTTGATTAGGCACGATTAGAGTGCCAAGTGATTGTGGTTATTCAATTGGGAATAAAAATGCAATTAAAACCACCTTGACTGCCAAGTTTCTTAGTCTTTACGAATTCTACATTCTAAGTATCAAGTATCTTCACAATCATCATTTCTAAGTTTCTACGCCTGTGTTCCTACATTCAATACCTATAAAAGGAGTAATTATTGATCAAGCAATGTAATGAGGTACATATTTGATAATAAATGTAGGTTGATCCAAAAAAAAGTTTACAAGCAGAAGCATTTGAAACAAAATTGTGGAGCGAATATTTCCACCCAGGGTGGTTGACAGATGGCGCTAGTTGTATTACAGCGGTTCTACGAGTAAGTAGCGTCAGTACGCAGACACTTAAGAGTGACAGTAATGGCACGACGTCTAGAAAAGGGGTCTCGTATAGAGGGGCGAGCCGTAATTCGATTCTTATGCGCCAAGAATGTGGCCGCATCTGAAATTCACAGACATATTGTTGAGGTATACGGGGACAAAGCAATGAGTAAACAACAGGTAGCAAAATGGTGTCGTTCTTATCAAGTGAGAAGAGAGCATGTGGAAAACTGCAATATGGAAGCAAGCGGCCGTCCAAGTCCTTCAAAGGACAGATATCAACATGGCACATGTTGAAGAAATCATCCAAAGGGATCGACGAGTAACAGTGCGTGAGATTGCCTCAGAGTTGGACCTGAGTTATGGTAATGTTCAGCATATCGTAACCAATGAGTTGCGATATTCCAAAGTTTGTGCCCGCTGGGTTCCACGTGCGTTGTCCTCGGAGCATAAGGCCACTCGAATGATGTGCTTCCTCGAATTTCTTCAGCGATACAATTCAGACGGCAAACACTTCATTGATTGCATCGTTAACGGTGATGAAACATGGCTTCATCACTTCACCCCCACATCCAAAAGAGCTACGATGGAGTGGAAACACGCTGGATCACCGAGGAAGAAGTTACACCCTCTGCCGGTAAATTGATGGCAACCATTTTCTGGGATACGACTGGTGTTATCCCAATCGAGTATTTGGAGCGTGGCCATACCATTAAGGCCGATCTTTATTGTGCCACCTTAACGAAATTGCGTAAAGCCATCCGATGCAAACGGCCTGGATTACTGAGCAAAGGCGTCATTCTTCTGCATGACAATGCCAGGCTATATACAGCTCGCCAGACTCGGGAATTGCTGCAAAGGTTCAAGTGGGAGGTCTGGAATCACCCCCCCCCCCCCCCCCCCATAGAGCCCCGATTTGGCTCCAAGTGACTATTTCGTTTTTCCGGCGTTGAAGCGATACTTATCCGGAACATGGTTCACCTCAGACGATGCAGTGAAAACAGCTGCCAAGAAATAGCTCAATGAGCAGGGCCCTGATTTACTACCAAGACGGGATAAACAAGTTGGTCGAACGTTCTGACAAATGCCTAAACAGGTTTGGCGACTATGAGAGCCAGGCTTTGTAAGCATCGGTGATATTAATGCACACATTTTACAATTTTTTAATCCAGTTGTTATTAAAAGAAAACTGTTCTCCACATTAAAAAAAAAAAAAAAAACCCTAAAAACAACCTATTATAATATTTCTTTACAAAAATTATAGGTTATATAACATTAAAAGTTTAATAAATATTTGGTAGGTTTTTTATAACTTTTCAACTGCTACAGAAAGCAATACAGTTGACCTTTAATAGTATGGGTTTATAATTTTCTGATTATTTGCAGGTTTGTTTTTAATAAATATACTCGAAAAATTAGATAACGTGTGCATTCTTCAATGATTGCCAGCACATATCAACATTATAGATGACAAGAACACAGATAGACTAGCAAAAGAGGCTTGAAATCTCGACAATAATAACATAAATATCATCCTTTTGGACACAAGTATTGTGGCTAAATGCATAGTGAAGGAACATTCAATTACAATAAAGCACCAGCTCCATAACATTAATGGAGATCGACTTAAAACCAAAACCATAGTTAGGCTAAGAACTGACCATCACAGAGGATTGGAAAATGAAGAGGGTAAGAAAACCTACACACAGAGGATTGAAATTGATGGGAAGGGTAAAAAAATTGTGATAACTGCTCAAATACAGAATTGACAGTTATACACATTTTTGATTATCTGGCCATCCTTCTTGAATTTAAGTTCTTCTTTAAGAGACTGAACATCTGTAATGATAAAAGTTTGCAAATTGCTATGGCTTTCATTTTCACTCATAGCGCTATTTGAATAAGCTTCATAATAGACATGACACCAACAACTTGAAAAATTTTTGAGGTTTACTATAGTTTCAAATATTGTCAGCGGAATGCATATTCTAGGAACAGTAAAATGAAGCCAGTTTATTACCAACCCAATGTACTGTAAAATATGCACAGATCTGTTGCAGGAATTTTATTTTGTTTATTATCTTTAGTGTTAGTAATATCTTCAGCACCTGAAGTATTTTGGATCATATATAATTATTTCAAGCATTGATAGCCAGATGCTTTATCTTGTAAACAGAACTTGTGTGTTTGGAAACTTGATAATTACAGTATACTGCTGCTAATGTATTTTCCTTATACTATTCTTGATAGTGTATTTGCTAGGTTACTTTGTTGTAAAAATAAATATACTATAATATATGAAATTTATTAAATATATGTTGATAGATTATTAATATTATTGGTCATCCACCAGCGGTCGAGCGGTAGTCTCTGAACACTGATAGTTCGGTCCGAAGTTCGAATCCCGCAAATGGGCTGACGGTGTGGGCATTTTTGTGGTTTTCCCCATGTGTAATGTGTATACAAGCCAGTTTCTCTTAGAAAGTCCTCCGCGAAGGCATCCCTCCCTTTAGGCAGATAGCCCTAGTGTGCTTTGCTACAATTAAATAAATCTTATTTTAAATTAATCTAAAATTATTCTTATTGGTCAGGTTTACATTCAACAGTAGGCTATTGGTTATTGTAAAAGTTACAGCTGTTTTTATTTGCTCGAGAATGTGATTTGTGTAATCCTTCCTTGTATTATTCGAGAATTAAATTTTAGTTTTTCTTTTAAAGAAAAATATGTTTGGCTATCCTTTTTAATGTATAATACAAGTTGTGTACCATGAAAACTGCTGTGAGTATGCCATAAAATGTTTTCCAACCAGATGTTTAAACAAATCAGAACATTAATGAATTTACTTTTTAGGTACACTTTGTAGTATGATGGCATGCTTTTAGCCCTGAAATAATGAACTTGTATGACCTTTTATTTTGAAACTGTATTCATATATTTATAATTAGTATTAGTATGCATGTCTTTGATGCTGAGTAATTTATATTTTTACTTTTATTTTGTAATGGAATTTCATTTTTGCTGTGGGAAACATTTATTGAATAATTCACAAGCCTGTGGATGAGAATGTTAGAGGAATGAATTTTATTGTTGACTGTAGTTAGTAAGTGAAAATGGTCTAATAAATGCAGTATAAATTAATTTCTCAATTTGTGAAATCTTTTAAATATTCCCAATGAAAGTGAAGCAAATTTCTCAATTTAACAAATATTTTATGTACTTTAACAAATTTTCAAAATTGCAATTTTTCAAATACTTTCCCTAAAAGAATAAGCCAATTTAGTAGTTATCTTTAAACTGCAGATCAGCCTTGTTCACATGCAAGTAGGGATTATCTTCATCTCAAACACCTGGAATATAACTGTTTCTTCTCACAGAAAGATGTATAAGTGAATTGCAGCTTTTAGATATGGAAATAATTCAATCATTTAAAACAAAATATACAAAATCATTAGTTGGAAAAATTCTGAAAGATTTTGAAACAAATCTTAAACTAAAGTGACATTTAAAGCTGTTATTGCAGTGTTTTGCCAGATATTCCTGGAATGATAGTTTCAGATTTTTAACAGTTTGATTTTTATTATAAATATATTTTATATAACATTTGAGTTTCACATTTGAGTATAATTTATCTACCATCATACCGGATTTTGAAACAGATTTTGATGAATAGTGGAATGGAATTTTATAGACTCTTAACTTTCATATCATATCTATCACTGTTGATTTATAAATTTTTGAGGTACGGTGTCAGAGTTCGTAGCGGTCCTTATAAGTGCTTATAAGTCCTTGTATTTGAAAATAAAATATAAAGGCTCTTATAGGTGCTTTTTTTTCTTTAAAGACCTTATGTTTTTGTTTTTAAGTGTTTTTTTTTTTTTTTTTTTTTTTTTTTTTTTTTTTTTTTTTTTTTTTTTTTTTTTTTTTTTTTCTTTTTTTTTTTTTTTTTTTTTTTTTTTTTTTTTTTTTTTTTTTTTTTTTTTTTTTTTTTTTTTTTTTTGTTTTTTTTTTTTTTTTTTTTTTTTGTGTTTTTTTTTTTTTTTTTTTCTTTTTTTTTTTTTTTATTTTTTTTTTTTTTTTTTTTTTTTTTTTTTTTTTTTTTTTTTTTTTTTTTTCTTTTTCTTTAATGAAGCCCAATTTTCCCCTGTACCAAAGCCGAAACTCTAAATAAACAACTTTTCTTCCTAATATGGAATGACAGATGGTGAATCATACTCCCGGAAATAGCTTTTCCCCCTTTCTCTGCATTAACATAAGCTTTGGTGTGCATGGAGAGTACAGACAGGTACCCGTCTTTCTATTGGGCAAAGAATTGCGAAAGCGATAGAAAATTCCGGTACATTCGGCATTCTTTTTCTCCCACCCAAATACTACACACGTTTGAATTTCTATCAAGATCTTAATAATTTGCATTCTTGTTCCGCTTGGTCAGCTCATATTCATGTTTATTATGATCGTTATGCTTATATTATGAGCATATTTATGAATGTTTATAATAACATAGTTGCAGTAACTGTTGAAGTATAGTAAACTTCCGAAAATGGTTGTGTTTTAACACAGATTAGCTTTCTAAGGAATAATATTCGGAATGGCTTAAATAAAGGGAAAGTAATCGATGTTAATGTTAGTCAAAATAATTTCATTTTTTTGGCCAATATATTATACAGTATGAAGGTTGGGAGGTTCTCCCCTTTCTCCGCAAAATCACGAATATTGAAACTGTTACAGTTTGCTGCAAAACAAGCAACGGACTTTTTTTTTTTTTTTTTTTTTTTTTGTCACTTTTCAATCTGGGTTGAATAGGACTAAAAGTTCTGCGGTCTACCAACCCAAGCGAAGAATGAATTTAACACAGTCTAATGAAAACACCCCCAGATTTGTAAGTCTCTTTCTTTTCCTTTATTAGTTCTTTATTCTCCTAATACCGGCAGCTGTTGATTCCAATTGTGTAATATCACATGGCTCACATATTGCGCAATAACGTCTGCGATATTTTGAGAGATAATTAATTTTGATGTTCAGTCAGAGATTTGTTTACGAACACTTAAGAGTTTTACTGTGCTTGCTAAGCAGAATATTTTTCAGTTCCGTTGGTTTAGTGGAAAAATCTAAAGAACGGCTACAGCCCCCCCCCCCCCCCCCCGCTGTCATCTTTTTCAGGTTTCGCTCGACTATCCAAATGTTCGTCAATTTCCAAGTATGTGGGTTGGTTAAGCTTTTACTGTTAAAGGGTGACTGCATGAAGCAAATTTCTGTCTTCTGTTTTCAGAAATGTTCCTCTTTTTTACTTAAATTACTTTGCTTGCAATATCTGTTAAGCGAAAACTGACATACAATGAAAATTTAGAAAATGTTCAGAATTTAGATTTAAATCATTTAAATATCAATATGAGTGGAAAAATAGATTGTATTTATTATTAGGTTCCAAGCGAATACAATAAGTATGCCGTATTATTATTTATTTTCTCTATTTTGAACTGAAATTTCATCATTAAATCTTGTAATAAAATTTAGTTCTGTATAGTTTTTTCCTCTCATTGTAAACTAGTTCTGTAAATTTAACTGTTATTTAAAATTTTTTTAAAAAGTAATTATTTTCCATGGTTGAGGTAATGATTATTCTCTCTTAATAAATACTGCATTTCTCATATTTTAAATTACAAGTCTAATTTTTAAGGTTATGTAGTTGTGTATAATGTAATTAGACAAGTGCTTATTTTTTTTCTTAAAATGTGCTTGAAAAGTGCTTATAGGTGCTTAATTTTTTAACTAAAATGTAGCTATGAAACCTGAGTGTGATGATAATGAAGCAAGCAATGGTTTTACCATATTGAATATATGTTTTCATAAAGTGTCTGATATAAGACATACCAAAATGTGAATAATAATGTATGTAAAATGAGCATTAAAGTGAGCTGTGTGTTAATCATTACTAAATCAGAAATAAGGAATAAATAGTATTTTTTTACTATGTACACATTACTTTTAAAATTAATAGAGAAAAATAAATGGTTCTTATTAAAATGCTAAATTTTGTGATTTAAATAATCTAAAAGTCATAATGCATTTAATGTAATCGTTTTGTGAAGATGTAACATGGTGTATTATAACAAATTGGTTTAGATTTATTCAGTAATATATAGGTGGGTCCAGCAAGAACTTGCTACATTCATTAAATTCTGTGTTTTTAATATTTTATAAGATGAAATATTAAAAATCATATAAATTTAAAAATCTTTCACTGTATTGAATACATCCATATCTTTCAGCATGGTAAAGATCTATTAATATTTTTTATTTACTTTTATTTTATCTCGTATTATAATTTTTTATTTTCAGGAAGATGACTTGGAATTAGCCTGGAATACACTTGAGACAGCAAAAACGATATTCAAAAGGTGTGCCATAAATATTTGTTTATAGTTTTGTTAAGAAACTGAGCACAAATAAGACATATGTTTTATATTGTTTAAAACTAGAAAATATCTTTTGTTAAGTCAAAACTAAATTATTTCCTTTATTAAGGAGTATAATCAGTATAAATAAATAAGTACTTTTTATTATTATTTTTGTGTATCTAAAATTTAATTTTTTATTTCCCTGTAGAAATAAGAATCCAAAAACCTCATAAAGGTATGATTTGTGGATTCTGATTTCCTGGTTTTTTTTTTTTTTTTTTTTTGTGTGTGTGTGTGTGTGTGATTTAAAATAGTTTCGATAATGTATTAATAGATTTTGTGGCTGCTTGAGTAGTAAAATAAAAATTGCTGGTATAATTTTCTAGAAGTATTTTTAATTATTCAATTATACAGTACAAAGTCCGTAATCCGAACTCATCGGAACTTTGGCGATTCCGGATTAGGGGTTTTTCTGGATTATAGATCATCAATTTAAATCTGGTAATATGGCATACAGAAATTATACAATTAAAAATATTAAACCGTAATTTATGAAATAAAGAGCAATTATGATCTAAAGGGTTTCAAAATTTACAAAAAAAAAAAAAAAAAAAAAGGTTTAATATTTATTTACTTTATTAAACATTTCTTTCAATGTTTAAGTTGTTCATTTTTTGTGCTAATACTTTCTCTTAATTCTATAAACAGACATAATTTCTTGTTCAGTTACAAAGTTCCTCTGTTCAAGTCCTGTAATTGCTGTGTCGAGAATACTGACTAAGCTTGTCAATCGAAATTTTTTCATTTTCAATAACCTCTTTCTGTCACTTTCTTCACTATCCGAAGCAGATATTTTCTGGATCTAGAAACCATACTACAGATTTCACCTATCCGTTAATTGATTGATGATTGGGGCATTGTAATCGCAATGAAAAACTTCTGTTATATCATCTTCTTTATTTATTACCGCTTCTCCACATTTCTTTACAAAATCCAGCAACTGGAAAAATTCACCTTTAGTTTGCAATGCCCGAAAACCTTCAAATTCGTGGCTGGCTATGGTCCGTTCTACATTAAACTCGCATGCATAAACTCATTACACGCATGCATAAAGCATACAAAAAAAAAAAAGTTTGTGGCTTTGAGGTCCGGATTATAGATCATTCCGAATAATGGACTTTTGTACTGTATATATGTGTGTGTGTGTGTGTTGTGTATATGTGGACTTTTCATTTTAACCCTTTGACGCGCGCAATATTATTTTTATAATTTTTTAAACTAAAAACTCTAGAAATTGACTATTATGATCCTAGAGACAAATAATATATGAATTTAAAAAAATCTTCTCTTGCCCATTGTTCTGTGGGTGATGGTCGCACTGTGAAACCACCGCACGTCTAGGACTTTGAAACTTACTGATGTAGTAGAAAAAAAAAACTTACCGTTTTCCACGCGCGTTTCCAATAAATGACGAAATTTATGGATTTAAAAAAAATGTATGTAAGAATTGCATTATAATAATTTTTTACATTATTTTACAAAGTAAATCGTCAGAAAAAATTTTAAAATAAACATTTATGTAATTTTTCTATAGCATTGAAAATATAAATACCTACATAATAAGGACATTTGGATTAAAAAACTCAATAAAGATAAAAAAGAACTCGGTGGTTTTTTTAATTTCAAAGTGGTTTTTTTTTTTTTTTTTTTTTTTTTTTTTTTTTTTTTTTTTTTTTTTGTGTTGTTTTGTTTTGTTGTGTGTGTGTGTGTGTGTGTGTGTGTGCCTTTGTTCAAAGCATGTTTTGTCTCTCTGGTACATGCATAGACCCACATTGCACGTTTCGCACATACATCTTGTTCTATGAGGTTTCTTCCTTGTGCTACAAAAATGTACACTGCCTGGATTTAAATTTCACTGGTATATGTCCAGCGTTATTTAGTTTCTTTTCATCTGGCACATAAAATTTGTGTTTTTTTTTATTTTAATGGGGGGGGGCTTGGTCTTTTTGGCTTTGTACGGATCGTTCGTTTCCCATTCATACTTATTTTATTCGTATTTCGTCCCGAAATATTCAGAAAATATTTTTAATTTAAATAAAACATTTACGAATTTCTATTTTTAATTATAGCAAAGTATATTTACATTAAATTTAAACCACAGGAAATAATTTATAAAATCGCAATACTAGCTTGGGGAGCAAGTGTGTTATCGGAGAAAAGTATTTGGAAAAGAAAGGCCTTTTTACTGGACAGGTGCATGTATTGTTTAGTAATAAAATAACTCTGTGGTTTCAATGCCCTTTATCTATATCCGGGTAAAAATAAACATTTCTTCTTGAAAAGCAAGCGAATGCCATTGAGAAGCAAACGCCAGTGGTTTCAAGGTGCAACCACCGAGCCTCTAGAGGATTGTAAGCATTGTGACTCAGTGCTCTAGTGGTGCAGTGGTCATGCCCTGAAACCACATGGCAAATGCCATACATATTTTTTATATATATACAGTTTAATTACTGCAATTTTTTATTGTTTATGATAGAAATCATGATGTGCGATGACTAACTTTTGAAATTTAAAATTGTTTATATTAATAAAAGGAAGTTGTGTTTTGTCTTATCGAAAACGAATTTTAAAAGGCATCCGATCTGAAGTATTAATACCTAAAACATATATGATTCTACAGTCATTTTGTGTTATTTAGATGTAAAATATCAGTAATCAATCCGTTTTCACAAAAACATTTCGGAAAAAAGAGGAGGAAAAAAAAAAATTCGGAAAATGGTGGTTTCAGAGCGCGACCACCGTGCGTCGAAGGGTTAAAATGTCGTTTACACATTTGACTACTGACAAGTTTTGATGTAGGTTGGAGTCTTATGTATTTTTAATGAATTTATTAAGCAAGTATGTATTTTTAATTCTGGCAGAACTCATTGTAGAAATAACCTCATTGATATAAATTGATTGATTAAATGATTGCTACTTCTAGTAAATTTCAGAGGTCTGATATTTACTAGTCGAAATATATACGCAAATTTTAATATACATTTACATGTATATGTTGATTATACCAATTAATTTACATAACCAATATATTTGCATAGATTGTATCCACTGTACTAACTTCTCATGTAAACCACCATGTGATCTACTCGTGTGATTTTCCAGTCACATCAGTAGAGACTGTAAAATGTGCTTGGTAATTAAAAAACAATGGCTCAATCAGTTGTTTGAAATCTAGATGACTTATCTTCAAAGGAAGTAAATGAATTTTTTTATCTATCTTTGAAAGTTTTAGAATTCGCAGAAATTTTCATAAAAATATATGTTCTTCATATTAGGGATTGTCTTTTTAGTCAGAAAAACTAATAAGTTGAAATTTTATACAAAAAATTTGTATTCAGTTTTTGAATCTTGTTTTGGAACTGTGGAAACCGAACTTCTTACAAGAGTAATTTTATGCTTTATGGGTTTTACGGTAACTTGAAATTCAAATCAACGTGTTTAGTCAAGATTCATCAGATAAAAAATAGTGGTAATCACTGTAATAGGATTTTGCTTAAAAGAATTGTAACAAAAATTCAAAGATACTAAACTTTACATTCTGAATCTATTTGAAATTTTTAATATTTTTTGTTTATGAAACAACTTATCTCAGAAATAATAGTTAATGTAGTTAAAACAAATAATTATAATATTCAGTTATAATTGGCTTTAAAGTACATTTGAAAGGGCCAGATGCATTTTGAGCATCTGCAGAGTTGCCAACTCTTCCGATTTAGGCGAAAGACTCCCGATTTTCGACCGCTCACCCGCCAACCCGATTTACAATATATTTCTCCCGACTTTTTCTTATTCTTAATATTTCTCACGATTTTTATAGAACTTTGGTTAATATGATACTTCGTTATATGAACAAAACAAAAAAAAGTGATTTTGGACGTCTGAAAGCAACTGAATTTTCTCTAGATTATATCTAAAACAATTATTAACCTTGCGAATTGAGATGAGAATTTCTGCTTCGTGAATGAGAGCATATACGTATACAGAAACATCGTTCTCCAGTTCTCTAATGGGCATCGTGCTCCACTGCATGTCATCTGGATATATATTAGCCTAATAATGCACAAAGCAAGCTCAAGGCCGTTGGCCGTTATTTGGATGTTCTTTCGTTATTTCGTTCATATTGTCCTGAGTTGTGCGAGTACAAGTGCCTTCGGGAAATAGTTTTAGAAATTATCATCTTTTGTTATGTCTGCGAGAAAGGTGAAATACTCGTGCACGATTCAAAAATCGTACACAGTTGACTTTCCTTCCATTATTTCCTCAACGAAATGTAATAAATTTGCGATGTGTACCATCTGTCGTTGTGATTTTTCGATTTCGCGTGGTGGAAGGGCAGATGTTCTCAAACATGTGTGTACACAAAAACACAAGGACAACATGAGTTGTTTTGAAAAAAAACGAAAAATTAAATTTTTCATCGGAAACAAAGCCCAAAAAGTGAATAATGCAGAATGTCTGTTCTCTGCCTTTTTACTGGAGCACAACCTGCCACTGAATGCATCGGATCACGCTGCAGCTTTATTTAGAAAAATGTTTCCCGATAGTGAAATCGCTAAGAAATACTCAAGTGCAAGGATCAAAACAGGTGCAATTGTTAAAGAAATGAGTTTGAAAAATAAATCTTCAGTTATTGATTGCATTAAAACAGCTCCGTTCTGCCTCTCTACGGATGGAAGCAATAATACCAATTCAAAACTGTATCCAATTGTTGTTTCTTTTTTTAATCCAGAGTCTTCAGAAATTGAGTGCAGTTTACTTTCTGTCTCCACTTTAGAAAGACATTTGACAGGCTTTAATATAACACAGCTAATTATTAAAACTTTAAAAGAAAATGCAGTTCCTCTGGTGCACTTGGTGCCGATAATGCACCAGTAATGGTAGGCTTGAAGACTGGTATTGCAGGCATCTTAAGAAAGGCAAATTCAGATTTGCAGATTATGAGGTGCTCCTGTCACCTCTTAAATTTAGCAGCTGAAAAGGGGGCAGCTTCTTTACCAATAAATGTGGATGAACACATTGTTGATATTTATTATTATCTTGAAAGGAGTTCTAAAAGAAAGAAAAAATTAAAACAGTTCCAACAGCTGCATAACACTGAAACGAGAAAAATTTTGAAACGTGTGTACACGCTGGCTGTCTTTAAAGAAATGCTTATCTAGAATTCTCGATCAATGGAACCTACTTCTTGCATTTTTTAAAGAAGTAAATGCTTCGAGAGTTAAGATAAAAGGCTCTATTGAAAGTTATGAAGTACCTATACCTAAAATAAATGGAGATGTAGTTACTACTTCCATTGTTAAAAATAGGTTTGAGAAAAATAAAGTAATTTCTGCATCATTCAGCAATTCAACTGGCAGTTCTCAAAATAATACTGCAAAATATAAGCGTAAAGCTGATACAAATTTCTCTCAAAATAAAAAAATTGCTCAATACACAAAACATTTTCCGATTACTGTAAGTTTATCTCGTGAAGAATTAACATTTGTTTTTTTCTTCGGACCTTAACAAAGCTTTTTGCTTTTGTTTACAATTCATGTTGCCATCATTCGATGTTCTTAACACAATTCTACAAAGCAGAATTCCGTTAATTCATGTTTTGAAATCAATTATTTATGATCTGTCTAAAGACATTTTATCAAAGTTTGTAAAAACCAGTCTGTGTTTTGTCTTGTAATTCTATATATGATGTGATTTATGGTGAAATGGAAAATCAGAAGATGGATGAAGATTTTGTAATAGGAGCTGCAACTACAAAAGTAGTGGAAGAACTTTCAGAAGAAGACAAAAATAAGTTTTATCTTCATGTTAGAAGTTACTTCTGTCGAGTATGTGATTACATACTACATAAATTTCCAGTCAACGATGAAGTGATTTTGCATGCTAAAGTTTGTGATGTTTCTGCCCTACAAATGCATCTTTTTCTGATATAAGGTACTTTTTGAACAGATTTCCTGTGTTACTTCGTTTAGTCATGAAAGATGATGGTATTGATGTTGCTACTGATATACTGCAATTTTGCAGTTTACAATTAGAAAACTTGGATGAAGTTATAAAATCAGCTAGGATTGACACGCAGTGGAGTTTAATTAGAAAACTGAAAGGTGCTGATGGAATTTTAAAATATAGTGAACTGTCTAGAATTATGTTGGACATCTTGACAGTTCCCCATAGTAATGCGGAGTGTGAGAGGATTTTCAGTGTTGTTGTGAAAACGAGGACTAAATTTAGATCTAATATTAGTGATGACACATTAGAAAATCTTTTATTAGTGAAAGCAGGCCTGTGTGGCAATTGCTATGAACAAAATTATGAAGTTTCTTTTTTAACGAAAGCAAAATCTGCCACTGTTCATAACACTTGTATGAAAACTGATTAAAGTGTCTTTTTTTTTTTTTTTTTTTTTTGTTTTTTTTTTTTTTTTTTTTTTTTTTTTTTTTTTTTTTTTTTTTTTTTTTTTCTTAAACGATGCAAGTAAAAAAAAAATGTTTTTTATGTCTAAGGTATTTTTGTATTGCTTGCATTTAAGACTTAGAAACTATTTAAAATTAATTCATTATTAAAAACTATATTTTTATCATTTAAAAAGTCTTTTTAACATTGTGAAAAGTCTCCTGATTTCTTAAAAAAATTACCTGATTTTTGAGTGTCATAGGTTGGCAAGTATGCATCTGTAAGCGCACTATGGCACAGTTTAAAATTGTTCAAAAATTTTTTAGTTTGTAAGTTGATTTTGATTCTGATAGCAAATTCTTCATGTGTTTGTAATTTGTATTTTATAAAGGATGAAATCGTTTGAATCATTTGTTCATGGTAATTCATTTCCCTTATCTAGGAAGTTATGACTATATTATTTTTTGAATTAATTTTCCTGAATTCTCATTTTTAAATTATAATTACTATGACTGTAAATCTCATTCAGAATTCATTGTAATATATTTAGCATATTCAAATATAGCTTCAAAATTTTAAATTTCAGAGTTAAAATTAGCTGAGAAAGATGTGATGATGTAATTTATTTGCTATGTTGCATATTTTAGTATAGTACTATTAATTTTGTTTATTTAGGCAAGGAGAAGATAAAGAAGCACAGTTAAAAATAGCTGAAATTCTCGTGTTATTAGCTGAGATCAGCATGGAATCTGGTAATAATGTAGCTGCTATCAAAGATCTGACAGAATGTCTGACTATACAGAAATGTTATCTAAGTCCAGATGATAGGAGTCTTGCTGAAACGTATCCTTTGATTATTTTCTATAGAAAAAAAGAAGGCCAGCATAAGGAATTGAGGAGTCATAAACATTTCATTTTTCACTATTTAAATATTTAGGATGTATTTAGGAAGGTGTCATGGTGTCATTGCTCACAATGCAGAATTTATACTCTGTAAGTGCAAATGTTTAGTTAAGCTATGATTGGTTAATTTTAGATTGCTTTGCAACGTGGAAAGATCTCAAATCCGGGAAAACAGATGAACCTAGCAGGGAGAGCACTAAATCCAGAATAGCCAACCTCGAGGTCACCAACCATTTCAAAACATAGCCATCGCATTGAGTTACATCTTGCATGCATATATATTTTTTATTTTTAGTGGCAGAGAATAAGGCAAACATTATATAACAGAGCAAAACTCTGAACATATAACGTAAAAAGTCAGTAACTCAGTCAATTTGGTCTCTAGTGTTCCAATACCTCTACATTTCGGAGGCTATCCTTTGAAGTCCTGGTCTTCAGTTAAGCCTTAAAGTGGGCAGTTCAGGCTGGTAAGAATACCAACATAATAGAGATGGTTTGCCAAGCAGTCGTGGCCAGTTTCAAGCTTAAAACTGGCCGCAGCTTTTTTTCTGTGGTTTGCCTGTGTGTGTTTGTGGTAATTAACTTTCTTACTTTCCATGATGTCCCTCCAACTCTTGATAACATTTCCATAGCTATCTTACAGCTTCTCTGGCCCGACAACTCTCGGAACCAACTCGGTATCTTGGAACCTGCAATTTGATTTTTGAGTTTTGAAACCATCCTCTCCTTATCAAAAGTGGATGTGAAATCCACGCGCACTGCTGTCATCACGTTTCTTCTATCTAAAGAAATCTTGATACATGATTTGCATGGTCCTTAAAAATACTCATGTCCTTGGGTTTTTTGGAAATGATTTTTGGTCCTTAAAAGTCCTTAATTTTACTCATCTCGCAACATTTCTGTCTGTTTTATTTTGAGTGTGAATTTCCATTTTGGAGAAATATTTTTTGGCGATGCATTGGCAAATTTGTATTTGATGGGATAATGTTTGGATTCTTTCCCACTTCTTAATATAAATACTGGATACCAGAGTTTTTGAAGCACAAGGTTCTGCTTCGATTGAAACAAATATTTCGAAGTAATTTTTTTGCGAATGAAGAATTCATAGAATATTGCATCAAAAAAAAACTTCTCTCTTTTTGAGATAAGTTCTTTTATTATGTGGTGCTAAATTTGGCAACTTATCAACATTTTGGCAATTTCAAAATCAGTTTGTATACAAAATTTTTTATTTGGAGATTTGGAAAATGTTATTTCTTTTCAAACATAATACTGATAAACATCATAAAATGATCACAAGCCAAAATTATATTTAAGAAATAAAGTTAAAAGAAACATTTTTATTTCTCCTGTCATGTTTTAAAGTTACGTTACTTTCTATTTTGTTGCCTTAAAAATATTTTAATTCTGAAAAATAAACAAGATAATAAATGCTATAAAGGGCAGTTTCTAAAACACTTCTCAGAAAAACCAAAATGCTACTGTAATAATTTGAAAATTAGTTCCGTTTGTCTTTTTTAAAAATATTTTTTCATGTTACGAGTTTCTTCTCGTGCAGTGGGTTCAGAATATTTAAATGTGTATCAGTTTTCTCTTGAAAATTCATTTTACCCTTCTCTTTTCTGAATTTGATTTTAAAATCTGGATTTTTGCTTTCTGATTTTAGGCCTTGCATCTCAAATTTATAGATTAATTTGAAGGCAAGATTTATAGACCTACAATTTTCAGAAAAATGTGGCAAAATGAAAAGTTTTTTCATAATATTAACATGTAATGGATGTGTTTTATAGGAAATTTGCAATGAATTGCTTATCTTTTGGAGAGATTTTGGAAGAACGGTCTTTTTTAGAGTTTTTTTACATTTTTCTAGAGTAATATCTGTTTCTTTGTGAACTAAAACAAATCTGTGCAAAAACATTTGCAATATCTAAATCCACAAAAAGATTCTCGATCAAATAGTGTATTGACTGATGAATACTGACTGCATGCAAATAATTATTGGAGAGCCAGTAATATTGACTATGTGTATGTTATACCCATATTTGGTACATATAAGGAAATGCAAACTACTCAAACTGGAACTTTCAAGGGACTGTATTTAATTGCCATCATGTTCAATGATATCTTGCCATCTTAGCTGTAGAAAGTGAATCTTGTGTCAATGAAAGTTTTAGTTTTAACATTGAAGAACTTGTGTAAGGTAATTTTTGCACCCCCATATCATCAGAGGTTTTCCCAGTGAAAGAGTTGTAAAGCATAAGAAAGATAGAAATCTGTGAGCCAGGATAGGAGAACATTGCGGATGGGATAAAACTTCCTAACCAAAGTCTAGTATTTTCTAATATATTATGTTTCTAATAGTATAATTAATGAGTAGTTTTGAAATGTTTTCTTTTGTAACTGCAAAATTTATTTTATCCTTAATATGTTTAGATATTATCAAATGGGACTTGCACTATCAGAAAATAAACAATATGATGAAGCCCTTGAAAATTTCAAAACAACAATGCAAATTCTTCAGTTACGAATTGAAAATATAAAGAAAAAGCCAGTGCCTGACTCTATAGGCACCTTTGCTGCTGCTGATCAAGAATTAGAAATTTCGGATTTGGAAAACGTTTTAGTTGATATTAAAGAGAAAATAGAAGATACTGAAGAACAAACAAAATTGGAGAAAAAGTTGGAAGAAGCATTAGCTAATGCTAGCAAGGTAATTTTTATTTCAGATAAGCAACTAAAAATCATTCATGCTTACAAAATGTAAGGTCTATTTTTTTAAGTAAAGGCTACTTCATAATGAAAAGGGAATTATTAAACAATTTGGGAATACATTTTCCCTCGGATTCTGAATATTTTATTATTGAAACATTCATTTCAATAGTTCTAATAATGTAAGACTTAATTTTTCAGACCTGTATCATAAAAGAAATGTTTTATCTGAGAAAATAATCATTGTATAGCTGTTGTTTTAATCTCTTCATGGATTTGGAAAGGCTTCCTGGTGAGGAAACTCGCTAGATGCTAGAAGTTGTGACGGTGCCTGGTGTAGACTTTGCATGAAATGATCTAGTTGCTGTCTACATCTTGTATTTAAGGAGCAGTAAAAACCTCATATTATTATGAAGCAATAGAAATCCAGCAGATAGCTAGCTTACTGTGATATTTATTCTGGATTGTGCTGTAAAATTTCTTTGAAGTCTGAGTGATATATAGAACATTTATTCTTGACACTTGCAACTTGAAGCAAAGTACATGTTTTTTCAGCACAGTTGCTATTATCAAGTTGATTGTCTGTGAATTTCACTTTATCAGAAAAATATGTTACTCTGTCTTGTCTCGAAACAGAATGTAACATTTCATCTTTCTTGTGATAATTGATAAAAAGCGCTAAAGCGGAGGTTAATTTCTTCATTTCTTTCAAAGACACGCTTTGATTTTATTAAACATGGGTATCATACAAGATGAAATACGGCTAGATTGATTTAAAATGGCATCTATTCATGTGCAAAATTATAAATACTTTAAAAAGGTATCGCCGTTCCATATTAACACATTAAATTATCCAACACGAGATAACTTGTATTAGTATTCTTCTTCAGGACGCCCAATAAGAGTTATCTCGTATTTTCTTGACTTGCCATTTTTGCGTCCGCTTGCTCGCTTAGCACTTATTTTAGCTGTACCGAGGCGGCAAGTCGAAGCATATCTGTACGAATCAACTTGTAGTGTGCTTCTGCCAAGAGCTTTCTAACAAAAGCCGACTACAAGATAATTCGTAAGACCCCCACCTCCCCCCCCAAAAAAAATCCTGTAAACTTTATGAATCATAATTAGTATTTTTAATAATATAATATGATTAAATCGATTTGGCTTCTTGGACCAGAACCCGAAAAGTGCCGTGGAAGTTAACGTGTTGAAAAAGTATCTTGTTATGCAATCTTTGTTGTAGTATACAAATAGCATATAACTAATCAAAATGGTGATGCTGTAAATTAATTTTAAAAAACAAACCCAAGTTTAAACTTTTCTTTATGTAACTGGCTAACTACAATGGTGAGTAGAAAGGATTTGAAGTACCGTAATTTCGCACGTATAGTACGCACCATCATATAGTCCGCAGACACGATTTTATATAAAAAAAATTTCAAAAATCGTCAGATAGTCCGCGGACTGTACGTCTGAAATTACATTTTTTTAATACGGCAATATTAATGTATTTTAGAAACAAAGAACTAAGTATAAATAGAAAAAAAGCGATTTCATCAACATTATCGAAGATGAAAAACAAAATACTGTGCAACGTGCTATCCTCGTGATAAGTGGTAATGAAATGTGACCTTCGACCCCACTCACTCGGTGTTGCCAAACCACGCTCTAAGTAAACGAATCGCGCTTTTTTTTCGTACTCCAGGTACTTGCTACTAAGGCTTCCTAAAACGCATATAAACGCCTCCTTGACGCATCAACTACTTTCCCCCCCTCCTGGCAAGTTGCACTAAAGCAGTGCGAAGGGATACTGGGATACAAGACTCTGGTTGCGCTAAGTGAGTGCTCATATCCCTGGACATCGCTTGATGCGTCAGCCTGGATTTTAGGAGCTCTACTTGCTACTACTCATTCGTTCTGTACTATGCTGTATGGTTTACTATCGATACGATATATACGAATGTTTTCTTGGAATCTCTCGCTTTTTTTATATTTGATCATTGGCAGTTCACGACAGCGTTAAATTTCAATGATTTTAACCATGAACAACCAGCGTATTATCCGCACTGGTGGATAGTCCGCAGCTTCAAAAATTCGCACTTTAAACACAGATAGTCCGTGTACTATACGCACGAAATGACGGTAATTTATAATTTAGTTTTTTTAAACCCAAAATTCTCGTAAGAAGGGTAAGTGGTGTGTTCTGACAAAGCTATTTCTATAACTATTTGATCTTCTCCCCCCCCCGATTGTCATATTAACTTCTTTTAAAATTCTTAGTAACACTTATAAGTTCCATCTCAACACTAGCATTTTTGTTTTCCTTGGTAGTTAATACATTTGGCATCCCTTGTAAAATAAATACATTAATATTTCACATTGTACTATACTTTTATTGTTAATTAAAAATGTAACATTTATAATGTTTACTATCTATTAAAAATGTAGCCCATTATAAATTTGTATGCTTTTTATAAGCTGTTGTCATCAAAGGTGTCATAATATTGTAATTTTTTAAGTGTTTTCTGTAAACAGAAAAATACATAGAGCAAATAGAGTTCAACTTTTCTTGATTTATCTATGGCTTATATCTTCTGAGACAGTAATTGAATATGGTTTAAATGTATTGACATGATGGCAAATTGAGAAACCACATATTTAATAGGCCTGTTTTTAATATAAAAGCACCAAAAAGAATAATTTTCAGTTATAGTGTTCAGTAGCAAAGAGAACTGATAGAACATATTAAAGAACATTCAAAACCAATTAGGTGTACTAAGCACATCTGATTAGTTTTAATTCTTATTAAAATCAATCACTAAAAGGTAGATTTTTTTTTCCAAAATTGTAAGGGAAATTTAATTGTTCTAAAAGTAGTTTGGGGGGGGCAGTTATTGGTGTTTTCATTGCTAGATGTTCTATTAGAGAAGAAAAGTAACTCTCATTACAGTGGAAAACAAGTGATTGATAATACTAGAGCTGGAAGTTTGAATATATGGCAGTTGTATCATTATTCGGAAAAGAATTAAAAAATAATTTAACATTAATTTTATTTTTAATAAAAATGCAAATCTGTAAAGAAGCCTCTTTTTAATGCATTTTTGGTACTTTTTTTAAAAATTTAAATAGTATGTCTACCAGATTGAAACAGTGTCTTTCCTAGGAAGAACCTTTTTCAAACTTTTGTTTTTTGCAAATGATTTTTCTTTCCTATTTCTTTTCATGTATAATGAGGAGGCATGTGAATTTGATTTGAAATCATGTCTTGAAATGTATTGGTCAGTTTGTGACGATTTCATGTATGCTGTTTATTATCATTTAGATTGTTGGCCCCACCAGTGATCAAGTGATTAAAACTGTTTAATGCTGAGAGTTTGACCTGGGTTTGATTCTTTAAAAATAGACTGGCTTCATGGTTGTTTTTCCCATACATAGCATGAATATGGCAGTTTTTTTTTTCGAAGGCCCTGCCCGAACACATCTATTCCTTTTGGCAGGATGGCCTTTGTGTGCTTTGCTGTATTCATGTAACATAACCTTTAGATTGTCTGTCTTCGTGTTGCTTGCCTGCAGTCAACTGATAATTCATGCGAGATTTAATTCCAAGGACAACAAATGTTAAGCAAATGTTTACTGTATAAGTTAAATGATTACATTGTAAATATTTTCTCAAAATCGTTTTATGAAAATTGAATAAACCATATTTGATTTATCAATATGTACTAACATATCAAAGCATTTAAAAAAAAAAGAACAAAATTTATCATGAATGTTCAGTGTATCTTCCTCTGGTTTCCCCCTTCCTAAAAAAAAGTATTTCTGTGAATATAAACAGGGTTCGTAGCGGTCCTTATATTTGAAAATAAAATATAAAGGCCCTTATAGGTGCTTACTTTTTTTAAAGCCCTTATTTTTTTGTTTTTAGTGCTCACTTTTTGCTTTTAGTGTTTTTTTTTTTTTTTTTTTTTTTTTTTTTAATGAAGCCCAATTTTTCCCCGTTCCAAAGCCGAAACTAAATAAACAACTTTTCTTCCTAATATGGAATGACAGATGGTGAATCATACTCCCGGAAATAGCTTTTCCCCCTTTCTCTGCATTAACATAAGCTTTGGTGTGCACGGAGAGTACAGACAGGTACCCGTCTTTCTATTGGGCAAAGAATTGCGAAAGCGGTAGAAAATTCCGGTACATTCGGCATTCTTTTTCTCCCACCCAAATACTACACACGTTTGAATTTCTATCAAAGATCTTAATAATTTGCATTCTCGTTCCGCTTGGTCAGCTCATATTCGTGTTTATTATGATCGTTATGCTTATACAGTCAAAAGTTGTTAATCCGGACACCCATAATCCGGAATGATCTATAATCCGGACCTCAAAGCTACAAACTTTCTGCGCATGCGTCGCGTTGACGTAAGACCTTTAAGCTGCGTTCAGATTAGGGCATAAGTGGTTAAAAGCCGAGCTCCGTTGCCAAGGCAACCAGTCTGTGCTACGTCATAAAATTTGGTTTAGGGCTCATGGCATAGGGTTCAAAGTTTTCAATTTTATGCCGTGTTTGGAATAAGTGTCGACCAATCAGATCGAAGCTAAAACGAAGCAGCGTTCTACAGAAGATTTCGCTGTCACAAAACAAGCAGAGCGTACGCGGGGAAAACAATCGAACAGGAGAACAGTGCGGGAAACTTGTAGACACATCCAACGCATGTGCAAATTTAGCTTCTCTCATTGGCCACGGCTTACACGCCGTTCTCGCAGGTGTGAACGGAACTTCTGTATTTTATGCCCTTATGACTATGCCTCTACGCCCTTTACGCCAACCTCTGAACGCAGCCTTACGGTTGCGAATATGTGTGTGCGCAAAATACGTTTATGAATGTGCGTTTAATGTATAACGGACGGTATACGCTAAGCTAAAATTATCTAATTCAGTTAATGTTGCAGACTGCGCTGTTCCTTAATCTTCGAATTGGATTTGGCTTATTATTTTTTGCAGACTGTTAGAGCAATTTTATAAAAGTAAGCTTCAACTTTGGATTATGTCAAATAGAATTTCTGATACATATTTACTAATATGTAAAGGATCTACAAAGCGAAAGTATGTTTCGAAGTCCATTAAACAAAAAGTGGAATTGCTGAAAAAAATGGATAAAGGCATATTCTTTGTTTATCTAAACTTTGTTTAATGCCGCGGCGCGCAATGAATTGGAAGTTGATCTGTCAGCACTATCCTTATCTTCAGGGCAGATGATTTTATTTTATTTGGCTTATAATTCCTTACTAAATGTAGTATTTCATCTTGATGTACTCCGTCTTTGATATGATTTAAATCAAATTCCTCGTCATTATAATTCGCTTCCGATAGCGAAGAAAATTACAGAGGTTATTGAAAACGAAAAAATTTCGATTGACAAATTAGTCCGTATTTTCGACACAGCAATTATAGGACTTGAACAGCGGAACTTTGTAACTGAACAAGAAATTATGTCTGTTTATAGAATTAAAGTGAATGTATTATCACATAAAAAATGAAGCAACTTAAACAACTTACATTGAAAGAAATGTTTAATAAAGTAAACAAATAAATATTAAGCTCTTTTTTTTTTTTTTGTAAATTTTGATACCTTTTAGATCATAATTGTTCTTTATTTCATAAATTAAGGTTTCATATTTTTAATTTTATAATTTCTGCATGCCATCTTACCAGATTTAAACTGATGATCTATAATCCGGAATCGCCGAAGTCCCGACGAGTCCGGATTAACGACTTTTGACTGTATTATGAGTATATGTATGAATGTTTATAATAACATAGTTGCAGTAACTGCTGAAGTATAGTAAACTTCCAAGAATGTTGTGTTTTAACACAGATTAGCTTTCTAATTAATAATATTCGGAATGGCTTAAATAAAGGGAAAGTAATCGAATAGTCAAAATAATTTAATTTTTTGGCCAATACATTATACAGTACAAAGGTTGGGAGGTTCTCCCCTTTCTCCGGAAAATCTTGGATATTGAAACTGTTACAGTTCGCTGCAAAACAAGAAAGACTTTTTTTTTTTTTTTTGGTTGCTTTCTAAACTGGATTGAGTAGGACTAAAAGTTCTGCAGTTTACCAACCCAAGCGAAGAATGATTCTATTCTGGAAATTTAATGCAGTCTGTTGAAAATTAGAATGAAAAACACCCCCGATTGGTCTCTTTCTTTTCCTTTATTTAGTTTTTATTCTCCCAATACCGGCAGCTGTTGAATCCGATTGCATAATGTGGGGAAGAATTACGGCGCATGTATTATGCAATAACGTTTGCGATATTTTGCAGAGATAATTAATTTTGATGTTCAGTCAGAGATTTGTTTATGAACGCTTAAGAGTTTTACTGTGCTTGCTAAGCAGAATATTTTTCTGTTCCGTTGGTTTGTTTTTATATGATGCACATATTGAAATGTCAAAAGCGTTTATTTAGCGGAAAAATCTAAAGAACGGCTACAGTCTATCCCCCCCCCTCCGCTCCTCTTTTTCAAGTTACGCTCGACTGTCCGAATATTCACCAATTTTCAAGAATGCGGGTAGTTAATCTTTTACTGTTAAAGAATGACTGCATAAAGCAAATTTCAGTCTTCTGATTTCAGAAATGTTCCTCTTTTTTACTTAAATTACTTTGCTTGCAATATCTGTTAAGGGAAAACTGATATACGATGAAAATTTAGAAAATGTTCAGAATTTAGATTTAAATTAGTTAAATATCAATATGAGTGGAAAAATAAATTGTATTTATTATTAAGTTCCAAGTGAATAGAATAAATTTGTCTTATTTCCTCTATTTTGAACTGAAATTTCATTATTAAATCTTGTAATATAGTTTAGTTCTGCATAGTTTTTTTTTTTCTCTCATTGTAAACTAGTTCTGTAAATTGAACTGTTATTTAAAATTTAAAAAAAAAGTAATTATTTTCCATGGTTGAGGTAATGCTTATTCTCTCTTAATAAATACTGCATTTCTCATATTTTAAATTAAGAGTCGAATTTTTAAGGTTATCAGTTGTGTATAATGTAATTAGACAGGTGCTTATTTTTTTTTTTTTTTTTTCTAAAATGTGCTTGAAAAGTCCTTATAGGTGCTTATTTTTTGAACTAAAATATGGCTATGAACCCTGATAAACAAAATTTAACATTACCTAGAACATTACCTCTTTGAGAAGATTATCACCATATAAGATCAAAATCGTTTGAAATTGTGAATGATCATCATACAGAAGATTCACTATATTTTGATCTACTTTGTATGTGAATTCATTTGCATAAATATTTTTCTAGTTTTGTAAAAATTAGGATGACTTATTGCTTTTCTTAAATTTAAAAGCTTTGAGTAATCAGGACAGCTGTTTAATTAAGCTTATATTTTAAACATTTTATATCAATGCATATCAGTTGACCAGAATCAATATTATAATAGCTGTATCACCTGTACTCAAAATGTTGCCTTACTTTTCATATGTTGCTTTTTTAGGAAGTCAGTTCTTCAGTGGATAGTGCTAAAAACAGTAGTAAACCTATTTCTAATATAACCCACTTGCTAAAGAGGAAGGTAACTTGTTTTAATTTTCAGATCTTAAGTGTATGATAATATTTCAATAATTTAATTAATAATATTATAAATTAAGAAATTCTTCAATATATACTGGTTTTAAAAATTGTATAATTTTAAACTAAATATGCAAAATATTCTTAAATATAAAACAGATTTGGTAAGCTTCTTCCAGTGAAAAAAAAACTGCCTGAGAGAAATGTTTCTTTCACTAAAATGAATGAAGTGGAAGAAACTAATTTTTAAGCTTATTTCATGTGTGTATTATTATATTTTGTGCACACATAGCATTGTTGTAATTTATTTTTCATTTTCTGTGTAGTTCAACTAGCTTTAGTTGTATGCTTGCAATAACATTTTAGTGATTGAGATATGTATGTATTTATATGCACATGTATATATGTATTTATTTTCACTTGATACAAAATTTTAAGATTTCAAGATTGGCAACTATGGTGTATTCTCAGCATGGTTGGCAAGTTTCTTCCACAATGGATAATTTCATTGCAATTTTTATTTATTTCATGCTAGTATTATTGTGTTTACATTTTATTCATTTGTAACACTTCTATATTATTATTATTAGATTTAAATACTTTCACATAGCTGTCGACTCTTCCGGTTTTTCATCACATCTCACATTAGGTCACTAAATCTCCCAATTTTCAATTTTTGCCTCTTATTTTGCTACTGCCGACTTGTCTTTGTATTTTCATCCTTTTAAACTGCAGAACTGACATGAATACTCAATGTAACCACCTGAGGCATTGAGTGAAGAAGAGCACAAAAACATTCCAGTATTAACTGCATGCTCTTTTATAACCTAGCTGAGAATAAGAGATAGTATTGTTTTCGTTTCATTTGTTAGCACATGCTGTATCACAAGGTAACCAAAAAGGTTCTTGCCGTTTCTGATACGACATTGGAAGAGTGAACGCAACATAAAAATAGTCACCAAACCTGGCTATGAAGTGGGTAGGATGGGAGTCCAGACATTGACCAAAAGCTCGTAGCATCGGTACTTCAAACATAACTCGCACATCGACTGATTAAAATGGATGCATCAGAGGAGCTCGTTCGAAGTTGCTTGCTGTATGATTTTAAAGTGGGCCTGTCAGCAGCAGAATGAAGTCGCCAAATTTGCCAGGCCTTTGGGGATGATGCTGTTAATAAAAGAACCACTAGGGCAGTGGTTCCAGAGGTTCAGGTCAAGGAATATGTCTCTTAGTGATGCAGCAATCGGCTACAAGCGGTGGACAATGACGCCCTGAGAGCAGCCATGGAGTGACAGTAGCCAAACATGTGGTGAGCTTGCTGTACACTTCCAGGTATCTGGTGAAACAATCGGACTCCATTTGTACAGCAAGCTGAGCAAGTGGGTACCCCACTCGCTGTCCAATGCAAACAAGCAAGAGCTTGTCACTGCTTGTTTGTCATTGCTTACTCGGCATCGCAATGCATCCATATTTGATAGAGTACTCACCAGTGATGAAAAGTGGGTCCAGTATGACACACCTAGGCATTCCAAAACATTGGTTGTCACTACGGGAAAACCTGTGCCTCGCATTGCGAAACCTTCTCTCCACCCACGCAAGATCATGTTCTGTATCTGGTGGACTATTCGCCAAGTGGTTCACAAATAAACTCCTGCAGTGGGCCAAACCATCGCGGCAGGCCTGTATTCAATGTAGATGGAACATGTGTGTCAGGCACTGATCCATAAAGAGCCAGCATTGGTCAATCGTAAGGATGTACTTCCTCCATGACAATGCAGTCTGCATGTGGCTCGGAAGGCCAGAGACACCATCCAGTGACTGGGCTGGGGGATATTACCCCATCTACCATGCTCTTCAGATCTCACACCAACAGACTACCACCTTTTAACAACCTTCTTTTTGGGAAATCCTTCAACAATCGGTCAGACCTCAAAAAGACCTTCACGGCCTTCATTGCGTCAGCGACGCCTACTGCAATGCCATTGCACAGCTAGCCACTCATTGGCAAAAGGCACTGGATGCCTTTGGTGATTACTTTGAAGATTAGCTGTGACTATGATTTGTTTTGTGACTTTTTCTCTCTGACTCTCCAAAATGACAAGAACTTTTTTGGTTACCTTGTATTTTAAATTTGCAGTTAATTGCTAATTTAGTTTACTCTTTGGAATTTGTCATTAATTTTATTTATACTGTATTTAAAAGTGCATTCATAAATAAAATCTTTTCTTCCCTACTCATTTTGTCAGTCTAAAAGTTTAAGGAAGTTACAAAATGAAATAAAATAAGTCCAAAAAATTAAATTTTAAAATTGATAATTAATTCTCTTGAAACTTGGTCACAGTATAGCATAAAACCTCCAGTTTCACATGAAAATTTTCCCATGTTTCAGATTTCATGATACGCAGCTATGCTTTCATTTTATGCATATTTAGCTCATTTGTATACTTGCAATAATCACTTTTGCCAATATATATAGATGCATGTATACTACCTGACAGAGGAAATCTAACATTGCTAAGATTTCATTGTGTAACTTTGCAGATTGCAAGACATTAATGAGATAAAAGGTAGGAAACACTAGTTGGTCTATATTTGATATGCTTTGATGCAATAGGAAGCCTGCTTTTTTTTTTTTATCAGTTTTGTTTCTCCAAATACATGTAGTTGAACAGATGCATGGCAGGCTGTTTTTCAGCAACATGCAGGCTCAGTTTAAGTTTAATTTAGGCCTATGCATGACTAGTTTGTCCTGTTGCACTGCAACTGAAATAAACCTATATATGCTCACTGCACAAAGGATTTGGAGATGAATTAGAAAAGAGAATGCAAATCATGTCAGAGTTCTGATGTACCTTATTCAGAGGCATAGGGTGAAAGCCCCACAGAGCATGACTGTTGATATTATGTAAAATATTCAAGGAACTCTGCTCCTGCCAGTATTAGCAAAAAAATTTCTAGATGAACTAAATTATTGAACAAAAGTGGCTTGTAATTATGCTGCCCTTTATGAAGACTGACACTGACAAAATACCCGCTGCCAACACTTGCAGTGGTTTCGAGATGGTCTCTTGGATGACTGAATGTTACTGGGGCAGCATATAATAATGAGTTTAGTTTCTATTTCACCAGTGATAGTCGCTGAGTAAGTCACCACGTGGAGAAAGTTGTAATCGTGCTGCAACTATTAAATGCCATACTGCTTAACAATCTAGCATCTTTGGGGTACCATCGATATGGATATACAATCATCTCTGGTTGGTATTGGAGATATAATGATGTCTTGAAAGTACATAGGTGATGGGCTGCAGATTGTTGCATTTTGCTTCTTTCAGCTGTTGCATGGTTGTTTTATATAGCAAGATAATGTCTGACTGCACACAGTAATCATGGTTAGACAAATCCTTCAGAAGTTTCTTTAGCCTAAAAGATCTCCAAAATTCACACTAGCTGAACATTTATATGATGCGATTTCCCATTGTTTGCTTTATCACTTTGGCATAAAATTTATCTTAAATTGCTTTGCCTTAATCAGTTGAGGATATTTTAAAGCATATGGTCATTTCTCTTGGTACATTGACCACATGCTGATTTCATCTGTATATTGAAGGGTTGCTTCAAGTATTGCCACATGAAGTGGTAGTACTTCATACTGATCATCCTGTGTATTTGATTGCTGTATTACATAAACTTTTTAAGATTAAAATCACCAATTTATGTATTCTCTCTATCATTTTTCATCATATTCTATGAAATTTTCTCATTCTTTCATGGTGGTATGTTTTCCATATTCAGTAGTGTACACTGCACAAAAGAAAATGAGATGGTTCTATCTCTCATCCATCTGGCCAATTGATAAATTTTAATGTGTGTTTGTCTCAAAAGCTCGACTTATGATATATATTAAATTGAGATATAGCATTGTTCAGACATGGCTATTTTGACAAAAAATCTGCCTTTTTGCTGAAATGGCATACCGATTTCCCCCCTCCTCTCCATATTTCTAGTCTGTCTCAAATTATACCAAAGTGCTGAGTTTTATTAAAATTGCACGAATGGCATTTTAAAAATTAGCTCTGAAAATTATGGCTCCTCAGTGTAATTGAATTTGGTATATATATATATTTTAACTTTTAAATTTACTTGAGTCCTTCTTTCACAGTTCAAAATTTATGTTCAATCCAATAAAAATTCTGACATATTTTCTCATTTAAAATTTGTATTTTTAGTAATTTTTATAAAACTGTCATTTTTGAATTGTAATCTATAAAGTTTTGCCATCACTTTAAAGTAGATGTATTCCTAGACATACCTGAAAAAAAAAAAAAAAAAAAAAAAATGAGTTTTTATTCAAAATTTCTGAAGATATACGGGAATTTATATATTGGTGCATTTTGAAATTTGCTATATTAGTTGTAAGGAAAAATAACACCAAGTGTGGTTTGTGCTCTTTGTTAAACTTATTTGAAAGAATGACCGATGTGATTCTTTTTTCATGCATAATTAAAGGAAAATAGTTTATCATAAATTATTTTACTGAACATAAGTGTAATAAGTGTAATTCCCTTGGCACAAGAATTTTGCCAAGTGAATATTTTCAGCGTAAACTTAAAAGTACCCCAAGATAAATTTTTAAATTAAGTTTCTCACCAAATTTTACAAAATTTAATATATAGGAATTATTTTAGTAGTAGAATCAAAATATGTAAAAAAATCATTGTCATTTCAGAAAAAGTCTTTTTTTTTTTTTTTTTTTTTTTTTTTTTTTGTCAAAATAGTGCTAAATATAAATCTAATATATATATATACTAAGTTGCACTTATCGAATTTCATCAATCAGCCCTGTAGAGCGGGAGGTATAGAAATGCCCCCCCTTTTTTTGGTGTGTATGTGCAGAGTATACATGTATATTTTGTATGTACTATGATATCTAACTTTCAAACCTCTGCATTTGGATAGATTTTGAAACTCGATTTTAGTTTCCAACAGTAATAAAAATGGAAAATTAACATATTTATTCAGAAAGAAAATAAAACAAATTTGATTTATTACAAAATTGAACCTAGATCATCAACCCAGAACTGTAACTTTTTTTGTGCTATTGCACGCAGTAATCTATTTTGTTACTAAGTTATTTAATCACTTTTATTTTATTAGTGAAAAATTAAGGGAATTATTTAAAAATAAGTTAAACTTTTATCAGTAAATTGATCCTCTGTTTGAACTCTATGGGTATATCATTGTTCTTTTCTTCCAATTGCTTCCACTGTCCTGGAGGAAACATGTTTCTTCTTGAAGAAACACAATCTTGATACTAACTTTATTTTTATTTATTTTGTGAAAATGTTTTTGCTAATTACTATTACTGAGTCTGTTTCCTTTTTGCCTCCTTCTAGAAACCTGAATCATCTAGCACTGATGGCAAAGAAATGGAATCTAAACGCTTAAAGATAAGTTCAAGTTTACCAAATGGGGATACAGCAGTACGTTTTCATTTTATTAAAATGTTATATTCTTTCTTAAAAATGAAATTGAGAAATCAGGATTTTTAATTTTTGCTCTTGCATCTTTAAACTGAGCTGCTACTTAATTAAAACAAATATTTCAGGATAAATTCAATATTGTGCTGAAAAGTCATGTGAGAAAGTAAATGGATGTTATAATTTTTAGGTGGCATTAATTCAAGATATTTTGTTTCAACAAACCTAATTACTTTTTATTATTAATTGCAAAAGGATGTAAAAGATTGAACTATACAAATAAATAAAAGGACATAAAATGAAGAATTTTTCAAAATGTAAATAATTTTAAAAAATTCAGAATTAAAATACTATCTAATAAATTATTACTGAAGATCCTGGCGAAAATCACGAGTATGCCAAAATTAAAAATAGCAGAAAAACGAATCTTAACAAAAAAATTGCATGAGAATGAACTGGGAAGGATGCATATATTCGTAATTCATTGACTATCTGTCTGTTTCCCTTATGCAATACTTTTTTGAATAATTTCATTAGAATATATTTCAAGATGATATTCTGTCTCTGACATAGTATCAAAAAAATTTAAATATTAGAAAACTTGTGCTTTTTAGGCTAATCTAACTATAATGTTTATTGAAAGGTGAAAGTTGCTAATGAATTAAAAATGGGTAAATATGCAGTTATCTTAAAAAATTGCTTTGTAAATTATTTACAAGTATTGGAAAAAGAAAATAAAACTTATTTAATGATCCCTTTAGAAAGAAAGCACCGATCGCGCTACTGAGTTGTTTGTCAGCACAAAATAATGCTTGCAGTGCTGACTGATATTAAAGAATCGTAAATGACAGTAAGTCCACAAGGTATGTGCTTCTTCAAAGAAGATGTTATATTTTCAAATTCATTTTTCATTACTTCATTTTGCTTTTCAGTCAACTTTTCCATTATTATCTTGTATCCCTTTGAATATTTATATCTCAGTTTTGGCAAATTAATGGTATTTTACTGCTCTCATAGTAGCATTCATTCATTGTTTTATTATTATGTGTGTTTGTGGCTTGAGAGAGAGAGAAATTCGAGAGTTGAGAAGGAGATTTTTGCTCTCTTATGAAATAGGATTTCTCATTTTCTTATTTATCATTTATCTGTATAATTTGATCATTTGGACCCTTTTCCTCAGAATGGCCGGGCCACTGAATTAAATATAATCAAATTCTAATATGTTCAGATATTTATATGTATATATGTATGCAAGTGAATTAAAAAAAAAAAAAAAAGTTACAAGCTGTAGCATTTGAAAAGTAATTATTGTGGAGGGAATATTTTTTTCCCTAGAGTGGAGACAGATGATAATGGCTGTCTTCTAGTGATTATGTGGGTAGGTAGTGAAAGTTTGCAGAGATGTTAGAGCAATTGAAATGGCAAGAAGTTTAAGAAAGTGGTCTTGCTTGAAGGTGAAAGCTGAAATTCATTTCTTATGGACAAAGAATGTGTCTACCTCTTAAATTCAATGTGAAATCATGGACGTTTATGGTGAAGAAGCAGTAAGCCGACAGCATGTAACAAAACATTGTCACTCTTTCCAGTCTGGCAACAAAGGCTAGACTTGGCAATATGGTAGCAAGTGGCTGCTTAAGTTCTTCAATGATAGAAATAGACATGCTATGTGTTAAAAAAAAGATGCAAAATGATAGAGTAATTGTGCATGCAAGACTAGGACTGAGCTATGGTACAATATAGTATATAATTTCTGATGTTTTGCAATATTCCAAGTTTTATACCCTCTGAGTACCACATGCATTATCTGATGAGTACAAAGCCATATAAATGATGCACGGTCTCATGTTTCTTCAGCATTGCCATTTTGACAGCCAGCACTTCATTGATCATATCATTGCTGGGATGAAAAACTTGGCTTTATTTATTCATCCCCATAACCAAAAGATCCACTGGTATGGAAACAAGCTGGATCACCAATCAAAAAGTGCCAGTAAAGTTATTGCAACCATATTATGAGATTACAATTATGTCAAAATTTTCTGATTATTAAAAAGTATTTCTTGATTGTGTACCTGGAGTCTGGTAGTACCAATCGTTATTGTCTCCTTTGACAAGGTTACGTGAAGCCATCTGACCCAAACAGGCTGGCATGTTGAGTGATGGTGCCATTCTTTTGCATGAGAATGCTAGCTCGCAGTGCTTCCCAAACTCGAGAATTTCTGTTCGGTGGGCTCAGAAAAGTTCAAGTAGGGTATTTGGAGCTCTACCACCGTACCATCCGGATTTGCCACCCAATGACCATTTTCTTTTTCTGAAATTGAAGGAAAACTTATCTGGAACAATAATTTCTTCACATAGTGATGCGAAAAGAGCTTCTCAGAACTGATTCTGTGAACAAGGATATGATTTCTGTATAAAGCTGCATTAAACAGGTTGATCTTGCATTCGAATAAATGCCTGAATGGATTTGGTGATTATCTGAAATGTGATCGGCAAGTAGTCCTTTTGATTCCCTTTTGTATTTTCTGTCTGTTAATGAATATTTTTTATTACACTTGTAACATTTATTTTTGGATCCATCCTTGTGTATTATACATACATCTATACAAGATAAATAACTAATTACAAGTATAATTAAGAGTTTCTTTCAATGTATGCCTCATTAAAAATATATGAACTAGTTTATCTGAATATAATTTCTTTTAGGTTTTACCAGATACTACCACCAGTTCAGAAACATGAAGTAAAAGGTAATTCCTTACCTTTCTACAATATAATTCATTAGCCTATCTTTTTATAATGCACTGCTAGCCATTAAAATTGCAACACCAGGAAGGGAAGAGCTGAGAAATGTCAAAATCACATTAAAGGAAGTAGAGGTTGGGATATGCAAATGATTAGTATTTCAGCGCATTTAGATGATGCAGGAGGGAGAAGCGACATCTAAAACATTGCCTAAAAGAAAAGTTTTAAAGTTAATTTCTCATTCGGAAAGCACTTTGTAAGGTCGAAGTTTGCTCATATCGTGTTATGCCTGAAGCAGGTGTTGGAATTTAATAGAGGCAGGATCGTTGTCTATCGAGAGTGTGGATTATCGTTCCATAATATTCCCCATTGTACTGGTCGACATATAACCACTGTCATTCGAATATAGAATCAATGGATTGCTGAGGATCATACTGAACAGCATGCAGGATCTCGATGCCCTCTCATAAATAATTCCCAAGAGGACAGACATAGTATGAGGTCTGCCCTGCAAAACCATACAACTGCATCCACGGACCATTAGTCAGGAAATAGGCACGTTTGTAGCACGCCCAGTATCCACCCGTATGGACGTTTATTTGCTACAGTGTGGACCATCAGCACGGCGACCATTACTTTGACTACCCTTCACAATGCAGCATAGAGAGAGATGGCGACTCTGGAACGCCAAACAACAAAGCTGGATACAGGAGTGGCACAATGTCGTCTTTACAGAAGAGTCCTGGTTTTGTGTGCAGCCGTAACTATGTCTGGAGGCTCCGTGGAGACCACATTGCCTGCTTGCATTTGATATTTGCATAGGGGCCTTGCAGCTGGTGTGATGGTTTGGGCAGCCATTGGTTATATGACACGCACATCTCTAGTTTGGATCCACAGTAATTTGAACGCATATTGGTACATTTCTGGCATTTTACGTCCGGTAGTTGTGCCCTATCATCAAAGCCTGCCAAATTCCATCCTCCAACAAGATAATACAAGATCACATGTTGCATGTCTTGTTTTGATCTTCCTTGATACACAGGTATTCGATTGCTGCCCTGGTCTGCATGGTCTCCAGATCTGTCATCTATTGAAACATCTGGTTATTGGTTGCTGAGAGACTGGCCTGCCACTTCTCTCCAGCTAATGCAGGTGATAAAGTGTGGGTAGACTTGAAGCAGTATTAAATGAGTTGTTCGTTTCTGTCATCCAGGCCCAGTTGGACTCCATGTCTAAGTGGGTAAAGCCCGTTTTAGCTGCAAGGGTGGCACCTGTTCTACTTATTTAGGACTCCTATAAAAACCCCCAAACTGCTTACAAGTTTAATCATTTTGTCTTCATGCCATTACTGTTTATGTACATTAAATACCTTTTTTGTATTTGCTTTCCTTCATGGTGTTGTACTTTTATTGGCCAGCAGTGTAGAATACCTTTGATAACTCGTTAACATTGTCTATTTTTCTATTGCCTATTAAAATCATATTATAGTTAGCGATTAAATGCTTTCTTTCTTCGTTATTTAAACACTTTTAGAAGTGTTTTTGATTTCAATTAGTGATAAAAACACTGTCTTTTATAAATAGATATGTAATTGTTTGATGGAATCATTCTTAATCCCCAAGGATATAGCAAAAGTTTATATTCAACCAGGATTTTAAAACTGAATAAAATTGTCAGTATTTATCAATCAGTATGCCACAAAATATTTCATAAAATTCACAGAATTAAGTATATACATCATTAAGAGAGGTTGTGCATAAAATTCTATGGCATATTTCCTAGCATATCTAACCAACATTTTACAAACTGAACTCTTTACAATAAACTTATAATATGAAGTAGGAAATATTACTCTGTGTGAGGAAAATTGAAGAATTGATCCATGAAACTAATGCTTTAGTGATTTTTAATTATAAAGTATAAGTTATATTTCCCTTGTGTTCAGTTCTGTAAATCAGCTCATTTATAATAATAATAATAATAATAATAATAATAATAAAAAAAATGCCTAATTAAGTTTGTGAATACCTCTATCATGATGAAGTTTACTGAATACCTGTATTTTTTAGAATCATCAAAATACTTCCAGATAAAATTTATTGCACTGTAATTAAATCTTTCCAATTAATGAGTGCTAGACTCTTATATATACCTCTTGGCACTGACACTGTGGAGGACACTTGAGTTTTCAACTGCTGCTGAAAGCATGAGAGAAGATTCTGTGCATGTGAAATAAAAGAGGGAGCTGTCGTGAGACAGTGGCTCCCAGCGCATTTCCAAGGTGTGCACTATCACTGTTGGATTCAAACTGCATGCAGCATGAATGTTCCGTGAATGTGAAAGAACTACCTGTTATCCTCTCGCTGTGACCTATTGTTAGCAGCACAAGTCAACATTTGATTATAAACATAGTAGATTATTCTCAACATCTCGCCACAATTTAATAAACATTTTTTGGATGCAATCATCCTTTGGAGGCCAACAACACAGGTTCTACTACTTGGCACATAATCCTTTAATATTTAGAATTATAGCATGGTATTCTTCTCTTAGTTAGCATTAAATTCATTTTTTTAAAATGTTCATTTTTAGAATTAGAAAGCAAAAGAAGCACAGGCACCAATTCTCCCTTCTTGATTCACAGAAAGCTAGTGTGGAACTGACTAAATTAATTATGTGATGAACTTAGATGCCTGCATCCATCTTTCAACTGTTATGTATATCCTATATATTTATCTTGAGACGGTTAGATTCACTTTAATTTTTATGGGCTTGTTCTGAAACAGTGAAAAGACATGGTGTCATTAATTGCATTCTGATAATTGACAAATGTAATGGGAAATGGTGACTGCAGCATTTTCTGTTGAACTTATACAGTAAATAATTTCTGATCAGCTTCTTATGATTTGTCCTTTTTAAACTGTTATCTGATAAACATATATTGTCTTTTTATGCAGTATTGCCTCACTATTTGTAAATAAAATTCCAGTTATTTAGTGTCTGTGATATGTCACAGCCCACTAACCATTTACATTTGTAAAATGAATTTTTACCCATACTTAATGCATTTATATATTCATTAATTAATTCAGGTTTGTTATCTGAACAATTAACTCCATGAATAAAATAAGTACTTTTTGTTTGAATCAATATTTGTGTAAGATAAATTTTTATCAGCAATAATATCTATTAATATCATGTATCAAGGAAAAGCTAATTTTGAAATAAATATTTAAATTGCCAAATTTTGTATTCCATTAAAATATTCAAAGCTAATGAATGAACCAGTATTTATAGTAATATTTGTCCAGTAGTATATTCCTTTTGTAGTTTATACAAAATTTACTTTTTAATGAAGGAATAAAAATCGCAGCTTTCTAGACATTTTAATATGTAAACAAGTAAATGAATCTTGTACTAAAAATATAAATAAATGACTTTAAGGATGCATAATGTTGGTTGTTTTTTAACTAGAATTAATCAAGAGACTACTGGAGTAAATAAAACTATAAATAAGAAAGTTCCTTTATTTACTAAATAATTTATTTTAACCTATAATCTTTTCTTTCAGATTTCTGATGTATATCATGCAGCATAGAAATAAATTCAATTTCTTTTTTGCAGATAAAAAGGAGTCTAGTGAAGTAATTACAGTTTTGTGTATTGTCTTATTGGAAGACAGCTCCAAATGCATTTTATAGATATGTTTTTGATTCATGATGAGATGTTCAGTAAACTTAATTTTATGATCCACATTTGTACATTTCTACATTTTTCATAAAGAATTTTTTCTACTTTGCATTGTTTTCATTTTGTTCATACAAAGTATTTTAACAAATTTTGTAATATTTGATATAGAAAAAGATTGAAGAAACTGTAATTTAGTCTATTCAGTAAAATGTATTATTATTAAGCCTTCACTTTAGTATCTCTAGTTCTTGCCTTTCATGAATATTTTAACACTTGAAACTTTTGTCAAGATTTTTTTATAACAAAATGAGATGGTTAAAATTTTTATTCATTTAACATTTAGTTTAATACTATATAATCTTAGCATGTGTAATTAAATATTTTGTAATTAATAAAAAAACTATTTTCATTAACATTAAAAATCATTCTGAAGGTAGCTTGTTTGCTAATTTGCATTATACATTAGATTTTTTATATAAAGATTTACCTTTTAACTACAAACTATTAAAAATTACATTGAAAAAAAATTCATGATTAAGCATAATTTTAAACATCAAGAGAGTTCCTCCAAGTTTGATATACATCTTATAATATAGCTTAACACACAAGTTTAAATTATTGCAGTAATAATGGGATAAATATGTACACTTAGAATGCTTATCCCATTTGCAATCAAGTTTTTAGTTGTTTTAAATTTATAATATTGTAGTCATGGAATTATTTTGTAATTTTAATTGATATTTTTAAAGATGCATTTGTTTTATATACAAGGTGCTGGAAAAATGGATATAGGCTTTGTTTCCTAAAATATTGTTCTTAGATATACATTTCCACTTAGTGTTTCAAAATAATAAGTCTCGATTTTATAGATAAAAATGTTCTATAAATGTGAAATCTTTTCTTAATGGGAGTTGTATAAAAAAAATATGTTTGCAAAATATTCATTATTTTAATTATTAACATGCACTCTAAGTGAGAACAATAAACCATATCACAGTAAAATAACAGCTATTTGGACATCCCCAGTACTGTCTTTGCACAGTAATATCGTTGGAATTCCAGACTAATATAACCAAATTGATGGTGAGGATGGCAAATGGTCCATTCGAGCATCTTGTGAATATTTTCGGGTTACTGATCATCCCTCAGATGATTTTTTTTTTTTTTACCTGATACTCTTGTGAATATGACAACTGGAAAGTTATGGCTGTCAGGGATCTAAGGCTTGTATTTCTTTCCGTACCCACATGTGCTGGAAAAAGAGCTTGTATATCTGTTATTTCTTGAAACAGCACAGTTAAGGGTTCAATTTCTTCCTTACTTTTCAGGTTTATGTTCATACCTACAACAGCATGAAATTATACAGGGTAGTTTTCAATAAATTTTAAAATTACTATATTTAACCTTATTTAAAGTGAATATACTTTAAGAAGTGTTATCTTTTACTGTGCATAATTTAAGAGCTAAATTACAGTATGTATGTCATAAAGTATCCTATTTAATGGCACATTAACTATTATTCATAATAAAACATTGGAATATATCCTTTTGCAGCTGAGGATGGTTGTTTGGTAAAACCATTGAAACTAGTCTTGTGAAAATTTTGAAAATGTAACGCTGATTTTTGTTTGACTTCTGAATTAGTACTTGTTCGATGTGTTATTGTATCTTAATTATTGGAATATATTGCCTGTGGATATGGAGACATTGCTGTACATACATGTATTCTCCTTGATCCCCTTATGAATAGATCTTTGATGTATTTGTCAGACCCTCTGGCAATATGCTGAAATTTAAATAGATAATTGCTGGTCTTTTTATTGCTTAATTAAAATACAGCAGTGAAAATGGCTTCATTTTGTTTAGTGAAAGAAGCTATATACCTCTTTGTAAAATTAATACTGTAAGTCGCATATGGCATCAAAAGCAAGCTCTAGTATAGTCATGTCGAAAAGTTTAATACTTTTAACATGCATAAGGGTACTCAAAAATAGATGGAATGGCTGAACTGTGAGTAAACATTTAAGTATGGGTCATACTGCTAGGTCTTGTTAGCTTAGGATTTTCCGCTTTTGATTTTCGTCAAGTTTATTGTAGTCTACAAGCAGAGAGGTTATTTGTGTGATGCTGATTTGTAAGTGTTCCTACTTGCAAAATTTCATTATTTTTGTGATAGAAGACAACTGTAATTTTTGTTGAAAAACTGCAGCTGTAACCGTTATGTTTCGTGAGACCTGATAATGCTTTTGAGTAAATTTTAAGCATTTAAACAGTTTTCCACATTAAACAGTGACATGTCAAATGAATTACTACTATGACTTGAACATCCACTGATGAGCATAAAGAATGAAATACTGAGAAAATGTGACAGAGTACTGAACAGTTTGCCAGTAGGCATAATTTTTAACATTTTTTAAATCTTATTAATCAACTTGATAATTTATGAATATTATGGATTTGAAGAAACTTAAAAGAGAAAGATTGACTAAATATAAATTTGCCATTTTTGTAAAAGTAGTAATAATCCTTTTTACAAAACACTTATCAGTAATTATTTATAATGAATGGAAATGTTCGAAGGAATCTTTTATGTACAAAAGCAGCAAAGAGATCAGGTTTCAGCTCATCAAATGGGATAGTTAAACAGTAATTATCTTTTATGCAGACATTTGTCTGTCAATAACATTAGATTATTATCTTGTCTTGAAGTGAACCTGAATGGTAAAGATATTTTCTCGGTATTGTTATATAAACTAGATTTCCTTATTATTTATGTCATTGTTTTTTTTTTTTTTTTTTTTTTTTTTTTTTTTTATGCGGTAAGACACAGGTTATCAAGAACATTACAACTAGCTCTAGCCATTTCAGATTTTCACATTTTATCACAAATTTATGAAACATTTCCAAATTTGGATTTTTATCAATTTTAATCCAGCCCAGTTTATCTTTAATTTCATAATCATTTTACTTGCTTCTGAATCATTGCTAGGAAAATTTCCAAAGGTATTTTTCATTTAACAAATAATTTTTCTCAGAGTAATTACTGTTACTACCTGAGAGTCCACAATCACTGCAAGAATAATCTGATAACTTATCGGCTATTATTTTACCTTCATCACTATAATTGTGTGAAGCTGTTTCCAAAATAGGTAAAACTGCAAACTAGTAAAACCACAGAGCATAGTGTATCACTATTGTCTGCCAATTAACAGATTTTACTTTCAAAGTTTCTTTTGAGCTGTGATCAGTCCTTCTGCTGCAAAATATTAATAAAGATAGTCAAAAGATTATTTGCCAGATTTCTGGGAAAAAAACTACTCTCTAAAAAGTTATTTGATGGAAAAAGAACATGATTAATCTCATTTACGCAACCTGCCATATCTTTTTGCTAAGTGTGACATTTTCCCAATTTCTATGAGTAAAGGAAAGTTTTAATAAAGCAATTCAGTGGTGTGGATGAGGTACAAGCAGATATGTTGGGTACCTTTCATAATGTTCCATTTTAGAATTTCTAGAACTACTTCTATGTTTTCAGTATTGGACAAAATGTTCGGAAAAGTGCATAAATGACATTTTGAAAGAGCATAAAATACATAAGTGAAGCATAATAAAATTGTTTAAAAATGGTTATTTTTATATATTCCCTTAAGTCTATGCTTTTTCATCAGCTTGTAGGATATTTTATGCTAATTAACCAGTTAATTATGATTTAAGACTTTACTATAACTTCCATTCTGAATTCCTCACCAGAATGCAAATTAGCTGTTTGCATTTAAACTGAAGGTTTTGAATGTTTACATTAAAGCTGGCAGCTGCATCATGCTGTTATTTACTCTAGCTAAGTCTGCTTGAAGCTATATTCCGACTTTGGTGTCTTGCCAGCTGATGTTTTAAAATATACGTCGGAAAGTATTTGAACCAGCTTAAATAATATATTTTATGTGTAGTCTTAGACTACATTATCTGCATTTGAATTTAACTTGTGTTATGTTAATTTAAATGCAGCAGAAGTTGTTTTGTTTAATTTAAAACTAAATATACTAGTGTTTTATGACTTGTTTAGGACTCGGCAATAACTTGCTTTCAGTCTAGCAATATTGATATTTAAATAGCAATACTGATATGTTTGCTAACATGAGTAATTTAAAGAATGTGCTGGATGGAAAAATGCTTTGTTACATACAACTGAAGGTTACAACACAACATGGCTAATGAAGCTTCCAAACCTAAAATGAGCTTGTCTATTATTTAGTCATCTTTTTTCTCCCTTTCTGTGATAAAAATATGTTTCTAGAGATTGATTCCTTATTCAGTTTCATGCATACATTTTCGTGATAAAGGAATGTCAACCTCCTGCAGAGCATGTGTGTATATTTGCTTGTCCATAGGGCCTTGTATTTTCAAGGTGAAGTTGATAATTAGATACTTGCAAAGTGATGCAAAAGCAAAGTTTAAAGTTGTAAAAATAAACTTTTAACAAGAGTAGCAATAGAAGCTCCCTAAGGTTATGTGCTGTGCAGATATTGAAGACAATAAAAGGTTTCAAACTTAACCAATTTATTAACAATATATAAAAATAAAAACATAATGAATAAATTTAAACAATATCAGAAACGTAAAAATTATAATATAACCATCATTATCAAAAATTTCATATATTAAATAATATTTTACCTGCTCTCCAAAATACTGGCATTCAATACACGAAAAACGTATCCTAAACAGAAATTATGCGGTTTTAAATGAAATTAGCTACACTGTCAATAAGTCCATGCTTAATGGCACCTGAAAATTAAGTCCTTGAGAGCACTTAAAACCGGCCTAACTCCACTCACTGTAGTTAAACACGAGGAATTGCAGCTTAAAAAAAACATTGCCGCTAACTTATGTTAAATGCCGCCTTCATGAAGAACATGGATGCCGCCCACGGCAGTCTCTCCCATTGTAGCTTCTTTTGAGAATCCAGGAAAAGTCATCTTGTAGACTGGAACCAAGGAACTTATTCGGGAAAAGTCATCTTGTAGACTGGAACCACGGAATTTATCACCGGATTGCATGCATCGCAAGACGTCTTCCAATAGGGGCTGGAAACTGCACACCCAGGAGCCA